ATTTTGAATATATATCCAGTTCACATCATTATTCATCTACTTTCCTTCGACACAAGCTGAAGGCTGAAAGCAATCCCTTGAAAACCTCAGGAGGTGAACAGGAGCTATATAATGCTACATTCAGCTTGCACGAGCTCCTCGCAGTTCTTCACAACACAAAGTCCTCAGCTCCTGGACCAGATGGTTTACATTATTCAATGCTACAGCATCTTCATCCTTCAACACTCGATGTAATTTTATATCTTTATAACCGCATATGGCAGGAGGGCTATTTCCCTTCATCTTGGAAGGTAGCTCATGTCCTTCCACTTTTGAAGGCTGGTAAGGATGCTTCTTGCGTTTCCAGTTATAGGCCCATTGCTCTTACCAGCTGTCTCTGTAAGACATTGGAGCGAATGATTAATCGCAGACTAATGTACTATTTGGGGCATGGTAACGTACTCAACAAATTTCAGTGCGGCTATCGTTCATCAAGGTCCACAGTCGACCACTTGGTCTGTCTCGAAACTGTTGTGCGTGAGGCCTTTGCACACGGGCAGCACTGCCTCTCCGTGTTCTTCGATCTCGAGAAAGCGTATGACACGGCTTGGCGCTTTGGCATTTTGAGGGACCTGTTTGACCTCGGATTACGTGGTCGCATGCTTCGTGCCATTCAGAGCTATTTAGACAGGCGCACCTTTCGAGTCCAGCTGGGGAACACACTTTCCCGTGAATTTCTGCAGGAAAATGGAGTGCCGCAGGGGGGAGTACTAAGTGTTACTTTGTTTATAGTTAAAATGAACTCCATTGCTTCTGTAATCCCTTCGTCGGTTCAGTATTCACTTTACGTCGATGATTTACAAATTTCAGTTTCCTCCTGTAACCTCTCAGTCTGTGAACGCAGGGTTCAGCTAGGCATCAAGCTAACTGAGTGGGCTGACAGTAATGGGTTTAAGTTCTCTCCTGAAAAGACTGCATCTGTTTGCTTCACCCGTAAACGTGGAATCCTTCTTGAACCATCCCTAACAATCTACAATAGTAATGTTAGTGTTCAACCTCAGCACAAATTTTTGGGTCTTACGTTTGATAGTAAACTGAATTTCAATGCTCATGTAAAAAGCCTGAAACTGAAAGCGCACAAGTCTCTCAATATCCTTAAAGTTCTTTCTCACCGGTCTTGGGGCTCGGATCGATTGTGCCTCCTGCGGATCTATCGTTGTTTGGTACGCTCTCGACTAGACTATGGCTGCTTTGTTTATGGGTCTGCCAGGCAGTCTGTTCTCAAGATGTTGGATCCCATTCATCATTTTGGGCTTCGGTTGGCTACAGGTGCATTTCGTACATCCCCTGTGCCCAGTCTATACGCAGAGGCTAGCGAGTGCTGCCTCGAGAAACGTAGATTCGCATTGGGCATGATGTACTCTCTTCGCATCCGATCTGTCCTCCAGCACCCTACTCGAGAAGTTGTTCAAGATACACGCTCGGAACGACTCTTTCTCGCAAAACCTAGCGTGATCCCTCCGTTCAGTATGCGACTGAAGACCTTGGCCCAGTCTGTCGGATTAGATGTGGCATCCCAGGTAGTAGAATTTTCTGGCATCATAGCACCTTGGGAGCACCCTGACATACTCTGCAACCTGTCTCTTGCACAGTATAACAAGAAAAACACTCCGAGTGCTGTGCTTCTGCAAGAATTTTATGAACTGGCTCAATTGTATGAAGATCATACAAAGTTCTATACAGATGGAACAAAATCTGAGACCTTTGTTGGCTGCTCTGTTATTGGATCCTCAGTGGAAGTTGTAAGGCGGATAAATACTGCTGCTTCTATTCTCACAGCAAAGCTGTATGGCCTCCTGTTGGCTACGGAACACATAGCCCGTCACAGGATACCCCTGGCAGTGGTTTTCACTGACTCTCTTAGTGCCCTGCGAGCCATCTCTTCACTGCTGCCTACAAGGAACTCTCTTGTTATTGAAGTTCAGAAGAAAATTATTGTGGCAGCCAGAAAGCATTGCACCATTGTCTTTTGTTGGACTCCCAGCCATGTTGGTATCCCAGGCAATGAGGCGGCCGACCGTGCTGCCCGCACATGCGGCAGCAGACAGGTAGATATTAAAACGATCCCTTACATGGACTATCGCCCTTCTGTAAGGTCTCGCATACGAGCACAATGGCAAGCCGAGTGGAATAAGGAGATCCACAACAAGCTGCATCTTATTAAGCCAAATTTGGGTGAATGGGCGAGCGCCCGGCACCAGGAACGCTTTTATGAAGTAGTACTGTGTCGCTTGCGGATTGGCCACACTCATCTGACTCATGGCTACCTGCTCCATGGGGAGGATGCCCCTTTGTGTGAACAGTGTGACAAACCTCTAAGTGTTCTTCATTTTCTAATTGAGTGCCCTTTCTATGAACGGGAACGCCGATCTCACTTTGCACAGTTATACAGAAAGCACATTCCCTTACACCCAATGTTGTTATTGGGTGATGAACCATTCGTAACTTACAAGCAGGTTTTTAAGTTTTTAGAAGCTATTGGTCTTCTACATCGACTGTGAACTTCAAAGCTTTTCACTCATGTCCATTTGTGTTTGTGACATTATCTGATTCATGTCTCATTCCTCTACTTTTAACCCTGACCACTAGAGTCCTTTCTTCTCGCTTACCCTCAATGCAATAGTTTCCTTCTTTGGCGCTCTTTGGCCTTAGCAGCCCTTGCGCCATAAAAACCCAATCCAACCCAAGCTTTGGGGTTTTTTGCGTTTCTTTCATCAGAAGCATATTGTAACCTCTTGTTTGGTTTTGGCTCGACCTGCGCGCAGTCTTCTTCGTTCACTCCCCGAGTTTTCGGTCGTCGTGTCAGACACGGCTCCGATTTCGAAGAGACGGGAAGTGATTGACTGGGGCACAAAATCTGCAATCCTTCAGGAACTGAGCGCCGGGGCGAAAAAAGACGACCTGTGCAAGAAATATGGCTTATCAAAGTCCATCATTTGGACCATTGCTAAGGACAAGAAGATCATTGCAGCAATGAGCGTGAATGGTGACTGCAGTGCTCGGAAACAGTTGCGGCACGCTGCATACAAGGTCGTCGAAGACGCTCTCTTTAAGTGGTTTCTCGACGCTGCTGCTCGACCTCTGCTGTTCGGGAAAGCCAAGGACTTGATATTTCTCCCGAATTTCCCCGAGTTCAGCCCTGGAAACGGGTGGCTGCATCGTTTTTATGAGTGGCACTGGATTGTTTATAAGTCCATCGTCGGGGAAGTGACATCTGTCAACGTGGAGAGAGCGAAGCAACGGCTTGCCAACAACCTCGACGAGATCTACAGCTACAGTGAGCAAGACATCTACAACGCAGACGAGACTGCCTTGTTTTACCAGATGAGGCCTGTGTGTACGCACAGCAAGGTGCGGATAACTGTGCTGCAATGTAGGCGGCAGTGACAGGCGCTTGCCTTTTGTCATTGGAACGGGGAAGAAGCGGTCCTGTTTCACCAGGCCCCTCCCCGTACGGTACCAAGACAGTGCCAAGGCGTGAATGACTCGGGAACTCTGCCCAATGGCTCACAGAGCTTGACAAGGCCATGGTCCAGCAAAAGAGGAAAATCCTCTTGATCTTGGGTAATTGCTCGGTGCATCATGTGAATTCGCCGCTGAAGGTTGTCACTTTGATGTTCCTCTCCCCAAATGCCACTGTCAAGTCCCAACCACTTAACATGGGGATCATCAGGAATTTCGAAGTCTGCTACCGCTGCCGCGTCATAGAAAGGCTGCTCATTGCAATCACCCGAACGAGTGCGCAAAGTCGTCAGGTGACGATCTTCTTCATGAACGCAGTGGAAATTCTGAAGGCCTCATGGTTGGAGATAAGGGCTGGGAGCATCAAGAACCGCTATCGGAAAGCTGTGATTTTGTTTTCTTCCGCGGAAGCGAGCCAAGACGACGCATAAAGCATAGACTCGTCCCTGTGGACCCAAGCCTGACAGAGGAGGGGCAGACCTGGGTCGACTTCGTTGATGCCAACGAAGATGTGGTCGTCTCAGAGAGCGCCTCCGATGAAGCTGTCATGCATGAGGTGCGGCCAACTGTCCAGGACATTGCGGTGTCCGACAATGAGGGTGACGACAGGGCGATGGGGTTGCTCCCTTACCTCCGGTCTTGACGACAATGGCTTTGGGGCACGTAGCTTCGTTGAAGCAGCTGGTCTATGCACGGGGACTAAACGAAGTGCCCATTGATCAGCTGAGCAACCTGGAGAGCGCTAATATAAGGTCTGCACTATTGAAACAAACCGCGATTACGAACTTCCTTAAATAAATGCCGCGTGCGTCGATCGCGGGTGTCGCGCTTTGAATCTGTGCCGTGCTTACTTATTTATTATGACTTGCAAAGGTAAGTCGTATTATAACAAACTTCTGTTATAGCGAGCGCGTTTCATGACATGGAAGGGTTTGTTGTAAGCGAACTCGACTGAGCATTTTTTCAACTTTTCTTCATTGCACACCGAAAGTTAGCCCACCCCTAATTTTCATCCGATTTGCTCTTGATTTTAGATGGGCAATCTCTCGGTATGTTGCGGTAGTTTGGCAGGAGCAAATTTTGGCTGATGAAAGTTTTTATAGTTCGCACCCAGTGCAGAGTCCACATACTCTGCATGTAAAACATTCTCATATACAGCACACCTTGAAAAAGGCATGCTTTATTAAGGCACAAAGCAGTTTGTATCAAACATAAATCATTGTTTCCATGATATGTCGTTCACAAAATCTGTTGTGTCTTGTCATAATGGCCGATCTTGAAAAAAGAAATCCTTTTATAGTCGACACCTATAGATAGTCCGTGGCCTTTAGTCTGGAAAATATGGTCTGGTATACTGTCTGAAATACGTATATACACTGTCTGAAATGAATGGGAAAAACATTTCTATACACAGTTTTCAATAGACCTAACAGTTGGTCTGCACGCAGCTATACTGCAGGAATTTTCAAACAAAGCTCTGGCATTCCGTTTTGTTGCAGGTGTGTCCCATGGGGGTGCGTCTGCTGGATGGCACCCGGCAGCTGCAGCACATCCCCCTGGACGTGGGGTCCCCCATTGTGGGGGGCTCCCTGGCGGACCCCCACGTGCTCATCCGCTCGGAAGGGGGCCTGGTGGTACACCTCACCCTCAGGGGGGACCCAGCCTCGGGCTGCCGCCTGGCCGTCCTCAGGCCCCAGCTCACTGCCGTGGTGAGCCATAGAGTGAATGCTCTGACTTGTCACTGTATCGGGTCCGGCCCGGTCGGGTCGGGTCGGGTCGGGTCGGGTCGGGTCGGGTCGGGTCGGGTCGTGTCGGGTCGGGTCGCGGCGCGGCGCGGCGAGGCGGGGTGGGACGGGTTGGGTCGGGTCGGGTTGTGTCGAGTTGAGCTGAGCCTGGTCGGGTCTGGTTAGGATAGGATAGGATAGGATGGGTCACCTGTCGAGGACTGGTTAGTGCCGGGAAACGAAACAACGAGCATTCATTCTTAGCATTTTTACCAAGTACGAGAGAAAGTGAAACCTGGTTTTTCGGCCTGTATAAATAAGCTATGTTTGCAAAAAGCTCCAAATTTGTGTGAGTGTAAAGCAAGAGGTAATGATAGAACTGTGGAAGTTTGAGAAAATGACATTGCCTAGGTAGAAAGATAAAACAAAAAACTAAATTTTTCTATATGCCAAAGTTTAATTAGGACTAGTATTCTTCATACTAAGGAGTGGCATGGTGGGATCTTGCCTGTGGCATTTATTTCAGTAGAAAGCTTGTCAGCAATGAAGACATCTTTTTTTTCTTGCTGACAAGTTTTTTTAACTGAAATAAATGTCACAGGTTCCCACAGTGTCATTTCTTGGTTTGATGAATTTAGGCTTAGGTGCTTGTTGGCTCGCATAGAAATTTTGTTTTTCGGTTTTATTTTTTTATCTAGGTGACTTCATATTTCCAAACCTTCGCATTCTATTACCACCACAAGGTTCTCGGCAGTGGCTTTGCTGCCCACCGCTCTGACTGACTGCCCATTGCTCTGACTGACTGCCCACTGCTCGATTATGCCGCAGGATGACAATACAATTTTGCCTGCACACATGGTTGCAGACCGTCGTACTCAGCAGGCCCGTACACCGCCATGTTATCATGTGTTATTGCGCCACTCCTTCAAACAAGGGGAGTGGAGCGCCCTGGGGAGGTTGACCGGGGGGGTGGAGGCCCAACTGAGTTGAAACACAAAATAAACAGACGCGACGAACGTGCACCGCGCAGCAGTCCTCTCCACAAGCAATAAGCAGAGCCGAGATGTTTTTTGTTTTTTTTCACTGCTCAATGCTTGTTTGCGTCGCCGTAGCTTGCCTTTATCTTCACCGCTTCGCTCGCTCCCTGCCTTTTCTTCCCCAGTTTTTTACAGCGGAGCTGTTTAAAGCTAGTTTTCCCAGTATCGTGTCTGCGGGCAAACAAATATCAACACAAAACTCTGGAGAGCTACCACCAGCTTGCCGGTTGTCTGGTTGCCACCATTGCTCATAGATAGCGACAATCTTTTCAGCCTTTCCACTCTGGTTTTCACCAGAGTGGAAAGGCTGAATTTCTCTAGGCATCGTCCTAGAAGTCGTCCGAGAATCGTTCTTGAGGTCATGATGGACTTCGTCCTTGAGGTCATCCTAGACGTCGTCCTTGAGGTCGTCTGAGAGCTTGTCCTTGAGGTCGTCCTAGAAGCCGAGGTCGTCCTGGACGTCGTCCTAGAAGTCGTCCTTGAGGTTGTTTTAGACCTTGTCCTCGAGGTCCTTCTAGAAGCTGTACTTGAGGTTGTCCTAGACGTCGTCCTTGGGGTTGTCCTAGACGTCGTCCTTGAGGTCGTCTGAGACGTCGTCCCTGAGGTTGTCCTGGGCGTCGTCCTTGAGGTGGTCCTAGAAGTCATCCTTGAGGTCGTCCTAGACGTCGTAAAAATAACAGCTTCGCTGGTCCTCCATCTTCACGTGAAGTGGAAGGGCTCTACATTTTTTGTTTTGTTTCTTCAAGGCATCCTGGCTTTTGCTTTAGCACCACAACGTGGCACCACCCACAGGGCCGCAAAGTTAGAGAGCCTGCAAATGCACAAAGTGTGCACTGTCGTCAAGCCAGATGCCAGATTCTGCTGCATTGCAAACTCCCCCCTTTCTACCCCCCCCCCCCCCTCCCTCCTCCTGCCGTTCGCAAGGTGGTCATGTCCACCCCTAAAAGATTCCTGGGGGGAACCCTCAGCATCACTGTACTCCATTCACGCTTAAGCTGAGACTAGAAGCTCCGCCTTCAGTGCGAGCTTTCTGCCCTTGCTAACACAGTGCTTTGGTTGCAGGCGCGTGCAACTAAAGCATTCTGGAAGCCAGCGTGCTCGTGCTGAAGGCAGAGCTTCTAGTCTCAGCTTAAGGGTGAGCAGAGTATAGTGCTGCATTCCCACAAATTTTCTGCTTTCTGTGGCACATGGGCAGATTTAGGGGGGCAAGAGGGGGTGACCACCCCCTCTTAAGCCCCCCAAGGTCAACATTTTTAAATTAAAAAATATATACCATAGCCAGAAGTTTAGTTTTCTTTTAACATAGCTAATATTGGGTCAACAAAATAGATCTGGGCAACGTTTTGGCCGTAATGTCAAATCTCAGCAAACCCTCCCCCCTAAACCTCATCCATAAATCCACCCCTGCTGTGGCTCATAGTATATTTATTTGAGTCACTAGTTAGAACGACCCTATGTGCAGATTGGGACACAGTGCGAACATGCATCGGCCAATGTGGCCTGTGTGCATCGAAAATTGTACTTTTTTTTTTGAAGTTAAGACATTATGCAATGCAGATGTAGCAAACAGATTTTCAATTACCCATGACTTTGTTATGATTGGGTTCAGCTGCATTTTTGTTATTGGTGGCTGCAGTTTTTTTTTTTCTGCTTATATTTTTTTGTATTTCAAGGGTCATTGTTGTGGTAAAGTAAGTATTTTGCTCTCCCTGCTCTTAAGTAATTTCTCAAGCATTGTTGGTAATACAGGTTGCACGAGGTAATCAAAAACATAAGAATGGTTTCAGCAAAAAAAAAGATGTTGCAATGAAAGATTAATATACTGTATTGGCACGGAAGTCAGTACAGATGGTGTTTTTTTTTTTCTATTTTCTAACTTCATTCGATAAAACTACTTTCAGCGGCCATGACTTAACTCGGCATTATAATACTAACTCACTGCGGCTTTGAAAATGGTTTCATGCACTGATCAAGTGGTCCTCATTGATGTTGGCCATAGCGTCTGTAATGGCACCCTTTAACGACTCCGGTGTTGTGGCGTTGCTTGTTGGTCTCTCTCTTGATGCCCTTGGCATATTACTGCAAAGTTCCGAAAGAACGCCCACCCAAAAGGGAGAGATAAATGGGGAAAAACACGGGGTGAGCTATTTATGGGGATGCCACAGCAAAACTATATCAAAATTTAATGTAATCACTGAGACACCCGCTACAAACTACGTGACGTGGGAACTGATACTCTAGATTGTGGACACCGCGAATTCCCATTTCCCAATGCGACAAGCACGCGGTAATTTGCTACAAATTCCTGTGTCACGGGAAAGGATAGCGCAGGTTGCAGACGCAGCAGAATCGCATTTTACCATGCGAAGGATCCGCGGAAACCCACCAAGAACTTGCATCTCATGGGAACGAATACTGCAAATTGCGGACGCAGCAGATACAAGTTTTATGGTGCATTAACACGCAGGAACCCGCTACAAACTTGCCTGTCACGGGAACCGATATTGCGCACGCAAATTGTGGACAAAAACACGGGAATCCGCTTCAAAGTCTCATGTCATGGGAATAAATACCGCAGATCGCAGACACAGCAGATTCACATTTCACGATGCAATATACATGCTGGAACAACTCGCGTGTTACGGGAGCCGATATTGCGTGCAAAGATTGCGGACAAAAAGGCGGGAACCCGCTATGAACTCGCTTATCAGACGTACTGGTACAGCAGATCGTGCGGCAAATGTGATTCCCGTCGGACGTCACATGACGTATGACGGGAATCAAGGGGGGGGGGGGGGGGGGGGGGGGCGGGCGGGCGATGTTTGGGAATTTTTATGTTCCAGATATTTAGCCAGAAAAATGGGATGGGCGATCTCCCAGGGGCAGGCATTGTCTTGAATCTTTACGGTAGTCCAAGGTATTTACATCTGGAGGGTTAGGAGGTCACATGTTAGGGCAACGTGGTTGTTGAGGTTGTCATGTAGCCAATCTTGGGTCGGATGGGCCTTCTGGCATGGAGCAGAGTCCTGTCGAAAAATGCATGGCCTCCCCTGGGCTTTCCTTCTATACAAGGTTTTCCTACAGTGCCCAGGGTCTTGAGGTTGTATTCGAGTTGACCCTAAGGCCCTGCTGAAAGAAGTGCGACAGCATGACATGGACTCTTGTTGCTCACAACGGCTAGGTCTATCACAGATAATGGGAACTTTGTCCGCATGACCGTAGGGACCTCACTGTGGCTCGCACAGAGCCGCATGTCATTCCTCCTCTTGACCTTTTCGTCTTGTTCAAAGTTCTTGTCGCAAGAAAAAAAAGCCAGAGCACATCCGGTTCCTCGGGATACTTGAGCTTGTTCAACAAGCACTTGAAACGAATGACATGGTTTCTTGGGGTTTTTCGGGACATAAATTGCCCTCTCCTCATCACGTATCACTGGTATCTAACGTCCTCATGCACCACAAAGGCAGAGCCTGATAGCAGGCTCTGCCTTTTCGAGCTGCTTGGCAATGGCCTTCATTGACTTGCTGGGGCCGCCGTTGACAATGTCCTGCACCTGTTGGACAAACTCAGCGGTCCTGATGACGTCTGATCGCTGGGAATGCTTTATTCACTTGGTTACAGATGCAACGTCCTTGTCAAAATCCGAAAGCTGTTTTCTGACCTTGAAATTGCAAGACCTTATCACATTCAAGACGGTGGCTATATCCAGATCGCTGTGGTCGGCGGCCAAGGCAACCAGGGTGGCATGCCTTTTAACTTTTAGGGTCGAAGCTCCTTAGGGGCTAGCCATGTCCGTATGTCCGTCCAGCGTCGGGTGCTCGTGCTCACGAGCATGTGAGCATGTGCTCCCATGCTCGTGTGGGGCAAAAAAAACAAAAAACAACCGCATCTCCACGTGGTGTATGATGTTGAAAGGGGCAAAGCTCTGGTGGTGCTTGTCTGCGTAGACGGTGAGCCGCAGCATGCCGAGCCTTTCGTTCGTTTTCATCCATGTCAGAAAGAGAATGTGTGGTATGGAATGTGATTATATACGCATTTGAGCATTTGACCGCAGCGTGACATGGATGAAAACGAACGAAAGGCTCGGCATGCTGCGGCTTAGCGTCTACGCAGACCAGCACCACCAGAGCTTCGCCCCAATCAACATCATTCATCATGTGGAGATGCGTTTTTTTTTGTTTTTTTTTTATGTCAGACTGAAAGCTGCCTCTTTAAAATTGATGCACTAGATAGACAACATAGGTGCAGTTGAAGGTGAAGTCAAGCGTCTTAGACCTATGTAGTAAAAGTATGGAAGTTATGCACCCTGAAGCTGTGTTCTCAAATACCTCGCACGCCTTGTATAAAATTATACTTTCATGGTCATTACCTCCCTGCAAAATGCATATTGGATTCTGTAAAACTTCCATAAAGTTCCAAACAAACGCACACCTCCGGCAGCTTTCTCGGTGACTCTCAGGCAAAGCGCCGGCCTACTGATCCCCAGTTGGCGGGTTCGAACCCTGCTGAGGTGTCTGCAAGCTGACGGAAGCTTATTGCGGTAAAGGCACCGTGTAACTGGGCTTTCGGTTGCATGTCAAAAGATCTTCAGGTGGTCTAAATTTAATCCTCAGTCCTCCGCTGGGGCGTGCCAGATGCCCTTCATTGGTTTGGCACGTATACCCCCAAATTGACTTTACACACCTCCGGCAGAGAGATAATGGTGAAAAAATATTGGGTGGGCGACTTGTTGGGATGAAGGAGCAACCTTTTTTTATAACAATGAAGTGATAAACATGCAGGTACCTGTTACAAATTCCCGTGATGCGGCGACCGATGTTACAGTTCACGGTCGCGGCAGTATTGGTGCCGTTTCTTAACTTTAAGAATGCTGTTATGAGTAATCCGTCGATTCATGTACAAAATAATTTCGATCTGTCTAAACAAGCACAACTTTTTTTACAGGCATCTTGTCAGGCTGTTAGTAATACTTGGGTTTCACCTGCTGATGCAGGTGTAAAGAGAGAACTAGTGATGGCCTCACGGACCACCTGTAAGAAGCTTATGCTTGTTTAGACACACTTAAAGGTAAAGACTTAGAAACCTACCCCTGCTTATGAGAAGCAACTGGCAGATTGAACAATATTAATGGTTTGTTCATTCATGTATCTCACTTATTCCTTTTCCTAACAGAAAGCCAAGATCCTGAGCATCTGTGTGTACAAAGACACAAGCGGACTCTTCACGACCCAGTACCGAGAACCGGACGAACCGGTCAAGCCACAGAAGCCTCCTGCCCCTCCCAAGGAGTCTACCGACGCATCCACAAAGTAGGGGCTTAAAACAGCTGGCATTCACGCTTAGTATCTTGTTCGGGACGTTATCTAAGTCCACCAGCTTACTTTAATGCCGCATTTCCTCATGCTAGTTGGCAATTGCATGGAAGTATCCCCTAAATATATTCAGTCATGAGCTACTCTGCTTGCTTCGCAGCTTTTTCTAAAATAAATCTGCTGGCTTTCTTTGGGAAATAGTCAATTCTGCAAATAATTTTGTACCAATCGGCAAGGAAAGGTGCATACAAATCTTGAAAATTTGTGCCAACTGAAAAAAACTTGGGGTAGTTTATGGGTGGCACCATTAAAGGGACACTGACAGGGTATTTATGCTCGCCGAGGTTTTTAGTTGTACGTGTCATATGAGAGCTCAACTACCCAGAACAGAATTTGCGGCTCGAAATTCGGTTTCTTTCCGCCCGAAAACCGCTGATCAAGAACTGGCCGGTTCGAGTCTCGCTCACTCTCTTTTTCGAGGTCACGGGCCGTTTTCTAAGGTATCGATGCGACCACCAAATTTAATCAAAGTCGTGGGTCACTGAAGGCACACACTCAATATTAAAAATAGAAAAAAATATGAAACCCATTTTTTGTGGCTTCTAAAAAGCTGTAAATACGTTGATTGAAAAAAAAAGTTCCACAGACAACCGGAAGCATTCTGTGCGTTCGTCGTTTCGCGTATCGTGGGACTCGCGGGGACGGCGATGGCAGCGGACGACGGGCGTGGGGCCTCTATTTCAGAACTGTCGTTCGCGGTACCGGCGAATTCTGTCTACCTTTAAAAGAGAAATTTGGGACTGATCAAAAGAATTGGTATTCATCCCGTACGACACGCCCGGCCACCAAGCCGATTTGCACGAAGACGTCGCCGAGCCGTCGCTCCCTTCTCGTGGCTGAAGACATCGCTCGCGTACACGTGAAGCACGACGTGTCTACTTCGAGTTGAATATGCACGCGTACGATTTCTTTACTAGGTGCGAATGTCCCCAAGGCGTGGTGCTTCCCGACTTCGACTCGGGAGTGCTTTTGCTAGAGAAAAATCGACAGCAAACTTTCCAACTTACAGTTTACCGGCTTAATTATTACAAAGGAAAGAGATCCACCAGAAAAGAGATCACCCAGTAGCGCAGTGGGAAAGACCGCCGGTTGACATGCGGTAGGACCGGGTTCGATCCCCCGTGAAACTTTATTTTTTTTTTCCAAACATTTCCCGATGTTTACGTATCTTTTTTCTCTTTTTACAATCATCACTGAAGAAACAAACAAAAAAATAACAAACAAATGTTGCGGACGATACTTCGCTGAATTAAATGGTATGTGATTTCCTTTTTGACACCTGCGAACTCAATGTAATCACTTTCCACAAAATGCAAGGAGCATATAAATCAGGTAGCGTCCGCTTTCCGAGGTGCCCGTATATGTTCTACAGGAATTGCAGCCAGCCAATGGTCCCGATCCCGTTGATCTTTCGGAAACTCTGTCGCACAATGCCACTTTTTTTTCGGACGCAGGACATGTGAGCCAGCTCTTCACGCAACATCTTGGGTGTATTCTTTTCGGAGCCGATCATGGAAATTCACCACGGGCACTCGCTACTCACCTCCGACTCCTCAATGTACAAAACAACTCATCTTGGAGTACAGAACAACGAGCGTAACAAACATAACTGCAAAAGAATCGCCCGGCGAGCAGTTCCCGCACGCCGTATCGCACGCCGCATGTCGTGTCGTCTGCTACGGAAAGGAGAAAAAACAAAAAAAAAAAAAAAAACGCACGGTCGGGTGTAGCCACGTGACTTCCGCCACTCACTCTCTTCTCTCCACTTCTCCGACCTCCGTCGGGTTTCGGTTTCGAGCAGTTGCGTCTTTCGGCTTTATTAAAAAAATACGCTACTCTGTTGCAAAATATTAATTGGGTAGTCCTCCGACACCATAATGAAGCCCCTGGCAAAAAATGAAAAAAACATTTTTGGGGGGTGTCAGTGTCCCTTTAAGTTTGATGCCAAGGAAAACACTAAATTAGGGTTGTGCGAATAGTAGATTTTGATTTCGAAGCGAATTCGAAGCGAATAGTGATTTTGGCCGAATATTTTCGAATCGAATATCGAATACTTGCTGTTCAAAAATCTTGGCCGCAAAGTTTCATGCAAGATAGTTATTGGAGACGTGCAATTATTAATTGGGCTGATTTATGAGAATGAGACTCTAATTAATTCATGTGTGACTTATTTAATGAAATACAAGGTGCCAAGATTGGCAAAGATGGCGCAGGCGTTGCTGGAGCTCATTGATCGTTTCTTTTGCCCATTTTTAAACAAAGTGGATGAAATGACTACGATGAATATATTCGAGAGTCCCCACCATAATGTTTGTACCGTTTTGCCGAACGTGTGAGTATATTGCTGATTTTAGAAATCATTTCTGACGGATTTTTAGACAGTAAACAAACACGCGAATTGAGGCTGCCAACACTTCGAAACGCACGAATATTATAACTGCTCTCGAAGCGAATATCGAATAGCGTAATATTCGAAACTAATATTCGAAAATTCGAATATTCGCACAACACTACACTAAATACAGTAATTGCAGCAAAATTAGTAGATTTCTTTTTGGTTTGCCATGTTTATGCTGGAAAGTGGTGTTTGGTATGTTCTGCTCGTGTTGATCTTTTATGTCTCATCCTCTGTCTGCGGTCCAATAATACCATGTAAACATTTTTCTTGCCTATATTATTCATATTTCACGTTTGTCTTGCCCGTAGCATCGTCACATTTATATTATTCTGAAAAACAGATTAAACCTGTATCTCTAAAAAAAAAAATTTTTTTTTAACAGCGGCGTGTTGGATGATGAGGATGAACTGCTCTATGGTGACTCGGAAGATACACGAGCCACAAAGGAGCCTGTCCGTGTCGCTGCATTGGAAACAGAATCCGAGTAAGCTTTCTTGCTTTTCGTTTGTCTGCAAGATGGGGTTACCAGCTCACTCTGCATTTACTTTAAATAATTGTCTAATAAACTTCCGTCCCCCAGGACAGCCAATGTTTTCGAGCTGAAGGAGGTCAAGCCAACCTTTTGGGTGTTTGTGGCCAGGGAAAATGGAGTCTTGGAGGTGAGCCCTTCAGGATTTGCATGAGCTTAGGACGCAGTGTCTAAGCTCCGATCTGCTTCGCAGATCTACTCTCTTCCCGACTACAAGCTCTGCTTCCTGGTGAAGAACTTCCCGATGGGGCAGAGGGTCCTCGTGGATTCTGTTCAAATGACTGCACCTTCTGGCACCAAGTATGGATGACCTTTTTAACACAAAAAGTGTTGATACTCTTGTTTTAAAAAAGAAAATTGATGCGTTCCAGCGACAAAATTTTTGCGTCCCTTCTTGCAGATGGGAACTGTAGGGACCATTGTGTGACATATACACTCCGTGCGGGAACTATAGGGGGCGCTTTGAAAAACGCGCGCAGCGCCGCTAGCGGAGGAGCTGGCGTTCGACAGTGAGGCGCGCTCAGCAGCCTGCGGCGCCTTTTCGCGTGCGAAGCTGTGGCGGCGGAAGCGCGCACGGACGGAACTTTTGCTTTTTGAGCCGATAAGTTGAGTATGACGTTGCATGAGTGCTGGGGCAAACCTAAGAAGGGCATCTAGCTGTTCTCCACTTCTTATATATTGAGTTTCGGTCGTTCTTAGGGGTAATTTCTCTAGTTGCGGCCGAAAAAGGAGTTGGAGCAATTTTCCGAAAAGCAGGACGGCCGCCACCATAATTGCTCTGAGTAGCAAATTTATTTCGCTCGTCGCTGTAAACGTAGGACTGCTGGAACAATAATATTTGGAGGCGAGTGAGATGTTCACTAGGTTTTTGCACGAAGTGTGCCAAGTTTCATTAAGACAGCTGGTGTGAAAGTTAGGTTTCTAACGAATAAAGAAATAAAGCTGTACAGAATATCCAATATTGGACCCGAATTGTTGTGTTATAGCAGGCTGTGCAAAGTGCAGATTTGGGCACGCAGGTGCTTCGACTTGACAGTAACATGACACAGCACTTATTGTACAAAAAAAGGGGCATAGGGAAACCAGATGAACATTCGGTTTGGTCGGCGTAACTCAATGGGAACTGGTTTTGACCATGAAAAGGCTGTCAAGAGAATACCACTGGTCATGGGAGGTGGAGACTTTAGAGGTAGGAAGGGACTAGTAGACTGTATTTCCAATTGAAACCACTTTACAACAAGTGGTTACAAAGCCGAGAAAACAAAGTTGTCGGCCAACACACGGTTTGGCCGTCAAGGGCTTTTGCGGTCAGTTGTTATGTAATAACCCGCCGTGCGAGGTACTGATTTTTGGCGCACAGGTACTTTGACATGACTGTAACTTGACACAACACTCATTGTACCAAAAAGAGTTGGCATAGCGAAACCAGGTGGAAATTTAGTTTGGGCGGCGTAACTAAATAGGGAACTGGCTTTGATCGTCAAAGGCTGTCAAGATAATACCACTCATCGTGGGAGGTGCACACTTTACAGGTAGAAAGGGACCAGCGGACGGTACTTCCAGTTCGAACCACTTTGCAATAGTGCGAGAAAAAAAATTTTGTCGACAGAACTCGGGGTGTCAACGTTTCCACATTCCAAAGGAGGCTGATCAAGAAAGAAAGCTCACCACATAAACTTCCATACTCAAACATTGATTCTTTAGTGAGTTCGAGTTTCATTGTTGTTTTCTTTAGATTTATATTTGTCACTTTTTTTACCGTTCGAATCTTTCTTCATGACGTAGAGATTGCGTGCCATACTTGTCCGAAAATATCGACACGTACGATGGGGACGAAACTTCTTTGGAGGGCATTCCTCCAACGAAATTGGCACTGCATAACCGCGAGTGTGGGATGGCATTTCAGTTCGTCCCATCGGCGCTGGCACATGTAGGCGTTACTGGTACGAAAACAAACGCAGAGCGCAAAGCGACAGTGTAGAATATGTCAGCCGTGCCGACACAGTGGCAGACATGATCGGGAGACCAAATTTCTCGCGTCGTACGGCACGGCTCCATCGTTGTCGCTGTCCCACAAAACATCGGCGAGGTGAAAAACTGTGAAACGTCGTCCGCGCGAGATACGACGCATAACTATTGAAGCACTTAATGGCACAGCACAGGCAGCACTTCATGCTGTGAACCCAGTGCAAACGCACCGCTCCGACTTCAATGCATACGCGGCGTGGTTTCGGTTTCGTTGTCTCTGGGGTTCTCACTGCCTACTTTCATTACCGGCCGCGCGGGGGCGCCCCAGTCGCGTCGCACGGAGTGTATAGGACTATGTTGTTGCGGTGTGATGTCATGTGGCATTCTGACATCACATGACAACCTGGCTTCGCAGGTCATTAGCAGTCTATATGCCTTTTCCATCACATTGTATGAGGAATTAGGGGTTTTGAAATATATTTAAATTTTGTAACATGAATCGATAATGATAGTGTCGAGACCGGTTATAACGAAGTCAACGAGAATCGGAAATCGCTTCGGTATATCCGCTTCTTCGTTATATCTGAACTCATACAAATAACATAAAAAAAACAAAAACAAAAAACACGGGCTGTCACGGGCACGTGTTTATCGAGCCTGCAGAAAGCGGTCAAGGTTTCCCTGCACGCGTCCTCTACTAGATCCGCTTCTTGCCAACTGCTTCTTGCCAACTCCTATCAAAAAAAAACTTTCAGTCTTTCCACTCTGGTGAAGAAGGAAGAGCAGCGGAGTTGAGCTTTTGTTCTTGGCGGTGGCTTTCCAGGCGAGCGATTTGCTCTTCTTTCGCAAGGGAATCTGAAACGCTTGGTGCAGTGGATTTTTAGGCGATAGCGGCCTCGCAGCAATTGAAGAACCACTTGCGTTGCTGACGCATCGTCGCTCGTCTCGTTCCCGCTCTTTTTCCTCAGAAGAAATGTTGCCGCCATCTATGAGTGATGGCAGCAACCAGTTGTCTGGTTGCCGAGGCTGGAAAGGTTGGCGCGATCTATGAGTGACGGCAGCAAGCAGACAATCAGCAAACACACTTTGGACAGCTACCACCATCTATGAGTGACAACGGCAACCAGAGTGTTGTGTTGAACACGGGTGTCAACATTTGTTTGGTACTGGACACGATCCTGAGGAAACTAGCCCTTAACAGCTCTGCTGTAAAAAAGATCCTGGTACACACAGACCATGTCGACAGCGTTGACGGTTGCCATGGAGGACATTGGCGGTGGACAACATTCTTTATGTTTATGTGCACTCCGTCGAGGATGGTATGCTTTTGATTCAAGGAGATTGCCTTTGTCTTCCCTGTCAAGGTGCCAGCGGTGCGGGGCTCTCTATCGTTGGGTGGCGATGATTCGCTGCAGGGATGGGCAAAATACATGCAAATATGTATCGAAATACAAATACAAAATGCTTCATCAAAAATTTCTTTAATTACAAATCTAATTACATTTACAAAAAAGTATTTAAGTGCAATATACAAGTACAACCAAATGTATTTGGTCTCCTCCAAATACTTTTCCAAATACATTCCTCAAAATTTGCGTCAGCGACTTCAGGGCACCTGCTACGCGTTTCTGGGTGTCTCATTTTAATTTTGCATCGCACACTCGGGAGTTAGTGTGCGAGGTGCTAGTAACATAATAGAAATCTAATCACAAAAAATGTAATCAGTTCGGATGTAATAGGTGAAAAAAGTACAGAGCTTCAGGCAGCTTTTTTTGTCGATTACATTTTGGTATAGACCAACAAAGAACTGAGACGACCAAGATGCGCAGCACTAGCTGGAGAATTTTTTATTGTTGCAACTCGCACCAGTTACGAAAATCTGGACGACCCGCGCATTTAGAATGTTCCAGGAAAAAATATGGATGGAAATCAGGTTGGAAAGCATCACAAGTTGTCACAGGCACTTATTTAGCCAGTCTGCCTGTGAACGTCGATTTCGTCACTATTCTTGCCCTGGACTAGCACCGTAATCGCAAAGTCACTAAACGCTTGTGCTTGATTGAGAGACACTGCATTCGGTGCAGAACATAGTTTTCTTCCTGCTCTGGACAGTGACAGTGAATTTGAGGGATGTATTTTTGCCCACAAAATTGTATTTAATTACAATTGTATTTGAAATACCCACTTTTTAGTATATAAATACACACGTCAAATACATTACCCAATTTGTAATTAAACACAAATGCAAAATACACAGTGTATTTGAAATACATATTTCGAATACTTGTATTTGAAATACTGCCCATCCCTGATTCGCTGAATTAATGCTTGAGCGAAGTAGACTTTTGCGCAAGAGTGACCTGATTGACCAGGCGCCGATACGGATTACGAATCAAACAAAGAAGTGCACACGGCACAGAGTTTGCGCTCAAGCTTGTCTGTCGTCGTTATAGAGAGCCTAGATTTAAGAGATGGGGCAACTGCTCGACCAGGGTCACGTGGTTTGTGGGCCGCGTTTGCAAAACATGCTGCAGCATGCAAGGAGTCAAAACTCAAAAGCGTTCACCTTCTGCAAACGTGTCCGCCTCTCTGCCCAGTTTTCATGCCACACTGGCCACACGACAATCAAATGAAGGCATACTGACTGCTCCCTTTCTGAAATCTGGTCCCTTTCTGTCATCTTCGCCGGAACGTTGTTGCTAGTGCTCCGAATTCCCCCATCGGCATGCCAAGACGACTTCTCGCATGCGATGTGGTAAAGCCGCTTCCCAGATAAGGAGTGGGGAGCAGACGGCGTTGCAGAGACTGCCACCGGCGGCCTTTCCAGCATCTTCTGCAACCTGTTCTGGGCAACTTCTTGGCCGCAACAGCAAAGTGCGGCGGTCCGAGACTTGCCGTAAAATCGTGGGCAAGCGCCCACTCAAACTTTGGAGATTATCGCAAAAAGATGGGGGATGGGCGCCTGTCCGGTCATCAATTTTGCATATAAATGTACTGTGTGTAATTCCTTATATTTTACAAATTTGCTAATGGGCGCTTGATGTAGATAGGGCGGATGCACGGTATCCTACGGTAGTTAGCTTTCAGAATTTTTATTCTTTTTGAAATTATCACGAAATTTCTCTTCACTTATCTGCGCGAACCGCTCAATTTCTTTCGCTAAAAAAAAGACACAAACGGATCGAAAACGTGCAAACGGGAATAGAAAATCGTAGTCGGTTTTCTGTAGCCGCTATTTCGTTATGACTAGGGCTTTGTGTTTTTGGATAAATCCGAAAAGCTCCAAAAAACATTGGCCGGTAAAATTTTTGTCAATTCAAATTTATCCGATAAACTCCAAATTGTTATGTGCCCATGCCGCCACCCCCCCCCCCCCCCCCCCCCCCAGCAAAAAAACAAAACAAAAAACAATTTGAGCAGTGCAGGATCAATGATCCCAGGGAAATGGTACCATGATTATCTTTCAAGCCTAAGACCGTTGTCAAAAGGGCGTCTTACTGCTTGTCTCGTCAAGGTTGGCTCACGAAAACAGGTCATCGTACCATTCGTGTCACGACAAAAGCCACTTTTTTGGTTTCCAGTTTGGGCCATGGGATTTGGGATTTAGAGAAAGGAGAGGGTATGTTTCTAGGGGTAACAGTGGAAGCTATGGACCATAGAGATTGTATAAAACAGGGAAAAGGGGCAGTTGAAACTTCTCTATTACATCCTTAACCACTACAGCTCGCACTGCCGCGGGATAGATTGATGGGATGACTCCGAGCTTCCTTGTGGCTACCTCCGGCAGTTTATTGATTTTAAGGTATCGACGTTTATCGAAGCCACACTTGTGTGCGACTTTTGTCGTGGGACAAATTAGTATTGCCAATGACACCAATGCCAAATTCAAGTGAAGAAATATTAATTGATACAAGCGCGTTTTATTTTTTATCTGGCATATGTTTGCATCCGGTTCTTATTTATTATTTTTTAATAGGAAACGCTGCGAAATTAATCTCAGAATTTCGGAGAATTGGGGATTTACGAAAAATAAACTCCGATAAACAGCAAATTTTTGCTAAAAAATGAACTCTGAAAAACACCCTCCGAATTTCACAAAAAATAAACTCCGAAAACACGGAGCCCTAGTTTTATAATTGGTCTCGACATAGTGCAAAAAACTGACTGATACTAAATTGAATAGAATATTGAATCTGTACATAATAAAAAAAAGTGGTAAAATGTTCTTACTGAACAATATTTTGAACTCTTGCTGAGTTTGGCTCTGTTATTATGATGATATCTACATTTGAAGCCTGCAAGAAATGACATAACCTCAAAAACTGCGTTAGAACTAACAGTTAGTAAAAGAAAGTCTCGTATTACAAGTAACTGGACTCTAATTTATAAAAAACGATTGTCTGTAAAAGATTTTGGTGAGAAGGGAATTGGATTGTTTTGTTAATACCGAAGATGGCACAATTTTACATGTTACGTAGCGTTAAATCATCCAACTCCACATGCTATCGCATGGCTACGCCTGATATGCATGTTAAAGTCCATCATTTTCTTTAACCTTGCTTACTGGCTGCTGTCTTTCAGGTCTGAAAAGCTGTCTGACATGTCCCATGAATGTATGCCAGTTGTCCACGAGATTTTGATGGTTGGACTGGGTGTCAGGCAGTCACGTCCACTGCTGCTGGTGAGAATATGACGCTGTTGCCGGATCCACTGAAAAATAGGCCTACCTTTTTGTGAACAAAGCTGGCATGTCTACTTTCCTACAGCACATGTGGAAGCCAATCACTGGAACTAATGATTGTGTCCATTGAATGGCAACAAAGGAGATGATGTTGAGACTAAAAGAAGCGACCTTAATTAACTGGGATTATGGGCATGGCATTCCCATGGTTAAGATGTCGGCTGAAATCGCTATCTAGAGTCTAGACATTATTATTGCCTCTTCATTCGCTGGTCTGCTTTACAAAATCGCGATGATTGGCTCTTCACGCGCTCGGTTAGAAATCGTATACCCAGGCTTCGTTCATAAAGCGTCGACATATTTATAAGTAACTACGGTAGCTCCCCTTTCAAGTTCTGAATGACCCTTTGTTTTTCTTCAGGCCAGGGTGGACGAAGACTTGCTCATCTACGAGGCATTCCCTTTCTACGAGACGCAGAGGGAAGGACACCTTAAACTTCGCTTCAAAAAAGTGAGCCTAGTTGAATGCCCTAGTTTGTGTCGGGCTGCTTAATTGTGGGACTCTTACCTTGCTTGTAGCTCAACCACGACATCATCCTGCGCTCCCGCAAGTACAAGACCCAGAAGCCAGAGAACGAAGAGGAAGAGAAGGCATTCCAGAGTCGCCTCTGGCTGCAGCCGTTTTCTGACATCTCCGGCTACTCGGGGGTGAGGTCTTCTGTTTTAATTGCATATTAAAGCGGTAACTTTGTAGAGTTCACCAACCTCAGGAATCACGTAAGCACGAAACGTGTAAGTTGGTCAGTCCGTAACCGCTAAACAATCTTGAAAGTAAAGGTGACTGGTTCCATGGATTGAACCTCAGTCACCGGCGTGGAAGCGGAGTGTGCTGCTCACCGAGCTACGGACCCAGCATGCAGGAACGGGAGGAGCAGAAGTAGGTTATGTGAGAAAGCATGCAGAGGATTGAGGGGTGGAAAGGGCAAGAAAGAGAGGAGCCGAAACAGGTGGTGTAGGAAGAGTGCATGGAACAAGGAGGGCTGCAAAGGGCAGGAAAGCGCGCTTACCCTCTCTTGGTGACCTAGAAAATTCAACGCAAAGGCTTTGGTGTCCGGGTGGAGCTGAAGGGAAGCGCATGCAGCGTCGCAAAGAATGATGTGACGTAATCTGTTTTCAAACAAAACCCTGTCTAGGCACCACCTGAACGAACAGTACCACCCACCCCGAGCATTAAAAGACTAGGGGTCATCCTGCCCTAGGCACCATCCGAATTAAAAGCACCACTCACCCTATAAAGCTACCTTAAATGCATTTGGCAGAATGACCAAACATGCAACCGATTTTTATAAGGCTAGTTCTTAGCACTTTCGTGCCTGAGCCAGGTGTATAGCTAACCCCGACGGAGTGTCCAGTGCGGAGTGTGCATTATGTACAATCGGCGACTGCTTTTTAAGTAGGGACCTTCTTCAGTGTGCATCTGGCGGCAACAGAGCGGACTTCAGTTAAAGTTGTTGCTTGCGGCCTTTCTGTCAGGCTTTGTTTGCACCCAACAATAACTGGTGCAACAAGGTGAAAATGGAGGAGCAAAGGACATAGCTGAAAAACGAGGGCATCGGGCCCCACAGTGACAGGAGGCCAGTTGCCATGACACAGTAGCAAACCGGCAATTCAAGTGCCAGTTCGTGGACAATTACAGCGGAGCTGTTAAGGGCTAGTTTCCCGAGTATCGTGTCTATGGAAAAGCAAATGTCGACACAAAACTTCAGACAGCGACTGCCATCTATGAGCGACGGCGGCAACCAGACAACCAGCTTGCCAGTTGTCTGGGTGCCGCATGTCGCTCATAGATGGCGGCAACCTTTCCAGCCTTTCCACTCTGGTGAAAACCAGAGTGGAAAGGCTGAATTTCTCTAGGCGTCATCCTAAAGGTGGTCCTTGAGGTCGTCCGAGATGTGTCCTTGAGGTTGTCCTAGACGTCGTCCTCTAGGCATCATCTTAGACAACGTAAAAAGAACAGCTTCGCTGGTTCTCTATCCGCACGTGAAGTGGAGGGGCCCTAGATTCTTTTTCTGTGCTCTGCGTTACGTGCGCAACTGATTGGTTGCAGGCTGACCTGAGTAGTGGCGTTCTAAATGCTATGCATTTAGACTTTCTTTGTGAAATGCCAAACCGATCCAGTTTTGTATGCTGCTGCTTGTAGAACAGGGATTTGTTTGCAGTGTGGTTGTCAGGGTTGAACAATAAGAGGCCATTCATTTTTTTTCTTTTTTTAGGTGTTTCTCTGTGGACATCGCCCTCATTGGCTGTTCATGAGCTCTCGAGGGGAGCTTCGCTATCACCCCATGTTTGTGGACGGCCCGGTCTACTGCTTTGCTCCATTCCACAATGTCAACTGTCCCAAGGGGTTTCTTCACTTCAATAAGCAGGTATGAATGTAAAAGGATTTTTACTCTAGTATGAGTTTACAACTAAGTCTCACGTTTGAAGAGTGACTCTTATAGCGAGTTCGTTTCACACGCACTGGCACCGTTCGAGTTCTCTCCCAGAATTCATCGCACTCACAGAGTGTTGCACGGAAAACTGGACTCAAACGAACTCGCCAAATGCACCGAGTGCAGAAGACTGACGCTGCCGCCATCTATGTTGTAGAAAAGGTACCGACTTCAAACCGAAACTAGCGCCTTTCTGTTCCGTGATGTGGGGGAATGCGAGAATGCAGTTGCTACCAACGTTTATCTACAAACGTTGGCAACTGCAACCTGTAGTTTATAGTTGCGATGTCTTCAAGCAGCTCGGCTGCCGTAGAGATAGTTACAGACGGCGTAAATGTCCGCAACCAGCTGTCTACAAAGCAGCTGGTTGCGATCTTTCAATCCTTATAACCGTTTACACCGAAGAAAACTGATGATGCTGTCCGACAGAAGCTTGATCCGTTTGAGCATGGTATTATGCGTGAACCACTGAAAGGGTACAGCTTAAAACTAGCCTGTTGGAATATCCAGCAAAACTGGGTCTTTCGATTTGGATCGTCATTATAGGTGGATTAGATATTAGCCTTGGTGAGGGCGTTGAGAACGAGAGCTTTCTCGAACAAAATACGACGGGGCAAGTTAGCTGCATAGGTAAATGTTAAACATGATGTTGCCCAATCCTCGGGTAAAGTCACCATCTTTAGCTTTCTCTGATGCTTATTGGGCAGTCAGAGGTTCCTGCTGGGGGAGTTTTATCGACAAATGTTAAATTTTTCACCCGCACATAGATGGTGATAGACATCTCGGGGGCCGCTGTTGCGTTTGTTCTGAGCATTTCTTTACACACTGGTATATTTCAGTGTTTTTACGGCAACAGAGCGATTTAAAACCTGCAAATATATCACGGGTTGTCAATTGCTTCCTTCGTGAAATAGCAGACGCTCACTATTCAAGCTCGCGCTTGATTTCGTTGCCCGCTCGACGCGATTTCAATCAGAAAATCTGCTTTTTTTTCTTTCGGTTCCGCGACACATTGTAGCAGACGAACCCTCGTCGTCTGCTCCCGCTCTTCGCCGGCCCCTCCGGAGCAAGGCATGACGGGATTGCATTTTGGCGCACTCCCGATTTCCTCGGTGCAGCGAGTGCTTGCACGCGTGGGGTGTCAGCGCTGAAATGAACTCTGAGAGTGCAACCACTTGTGGAGCGCCGGCCGAAACAAACCCGTTCCACGCTGCGAGTGGCCACGCGTGGGCACGAGTGCCGTGAAACGAACTCGCCATTAATCATTGCTGTTGCACACCTATTGGTTGAGTCACCTGCCTTCTCCAAAAAGGCATGGCGAAAAATTGCTTTTTAATTGTCTGAGCCATAAAAAAAATTTACATGTGAGTCTCACAATTTTGTGAAAGCAATAAAAGTAAATGTTTTTCATAACTTTCGCCTCTATGCCAGAACTTTCAACTAGTATATTTTTAATGTGAAACATTCTTTGGCTAGTTGCTGAGCGTTGAGCCCAGAAAGTGAAGCGACTGCGAAGCTCAGCGCTGATCGGTTGACCAGGGGAGAGAAGGGACAAAGGAAGCTCGATGCTGATTGGCTAACGTGGGAGGTCACGTGGTTAGAGGTGGGTGAGGAGGAGTTTGACCACCTGCGCACCAATGGAGAAAGCTCGACGCTCTAACGGTAGGAGATCACATGGCTAGAGGTGTGTGAGAAGGAGGTGTTCACGTGATTGAGTGAGGTTGTACTGACGGAGGAGTGATTAGTGGTATTGTAACATTCCAGGAACTGCTATAAGTGGGTGTGGTACGCAATAAGTTATCTCACGAAGAGCGCCGTAAACATAGGTGTTTAGCTGCACGGTACCTCAGTGATGAACACCGTGAGCAACGATGTTAGACCTCTGAGTTTGAGCACTAGAGACTAATCCCACACTATATGGACTACCATCAACGTGCTTGGCTCTCAAGTGTAACCACTGAGCGATTAAGCCCGAATGTTTTCTTGTATGCAACACAATTGCCGAGCAATTTGGCATACATATTTTTTATAATGCAGAGGCTTGTATTGCAATGGAAGTAGTAAAGAATGCCCTCCCTGAGGGTCAGGTTGTTTTGCCCCGGTCCTTCCTAGAAGTTTTAGGTCAGGGCCAGACGATTGTGGACTGCCTGCTGCGCTGGGTAGTCACTTTGCTGCTGGTTGTTGGTGGGGAAGCCTCGGGGAATGACGCTCAAAGTCGAGAGCAATGATTGATAAAAACAAATATATTAAAATGACGACAGCAAACTTAATTACAAAACTCTACCGCACTCACAGCAGTAGAAAGACAAAAAAAACGCACCTCAACACAGAGTGCCCACCGCGCACGGTGAGGCTCAAAGAAACTGCTTGTCGCTCGCGACAAAGCTACACGGACCGGCGGACCGCGAGAGATACTAACTTGCTCCACGCACGGGCTTTTTCAAACTCAACGTTTTCTCGCCAGCGCGGTCGAGAAAACTTCCCGCTGACACAGGGCCTGTCCAATTAGGACAATTATAAAATTCTATTGGCCCCAATGCCAGCGGGTCCTCCCCCAATCACAGGGAAGCCGCAGAACTCAGTCCTTTCTTTTTTCTAAGAAAAACAATGCTAAACGCCTTGGGAAACTCTCCTATCGGGGCGATACTTTACGGATAAAACTCCCCCCACTTCGCGGCGTCAGAACAAATCTGCGCCGTGTCCTTCGAAGCCAGCGAGTAAAGCGAAATGGAGTCCAAGTGGACCGAGACTGGTGCCCCTTATAGCCAAAACCCCATTGTAGCAGTCTCCCGACTGGACGAGCCGACTGGAAACGTGCCGTGACGACAAATTCGGGGAGGGCGCCACCACCTCGCGGCGACAGGCAAGAATTTCTGTCCCCTTCCCGGGCCAAAGATTAAAAAGGGCTCAAGCTGCTCATCCCCCTATCCTGGGGCGAGCTGTCGAGGTGCCCCCATCCGAACGGTTGAAAGTCGACCACCTCACTTTCCAGGAAACGATCAAATCCTCAAGCGAATCCCTACAGAAGTGATTCACAAAATATCACAATTTTACCCTGCAAAGGGTATATCATGCTCGTGCAGACCAAGTAGGAGCAAACAATGCTTGAATGAAAGGTTCTGTTGCTTACATATCCCCCTGGAAAGAACTTTCATCTGTTCTTTATAATATGTCTCTAAGCCACTGCTAGCATATGAAAGGCACAAGAAAGATGGTACGAAAACTGCTAATTGTATACCGAATGTTTTATTGCCATTTTTGCTCCAACTGCATCGTGGTGGAGTTGCTGCGCTAAAGCAAACTTTAGCGCAGCAACTCCACCATTTTATTGCCATTATTGGCAATAATGGCAATAATGGCTTTTATTGCCATTTTTGGGCTTTAATTTGCTATAATTTCTAAGCATAACTTAAGAAGCTTATGCCCTCCGACCGGCCACCATCGGCCGTCCCACGACCTTTGACGTTGCTGGTTTTTTTTTCCACCAGGGGGAGCTGCGCATCAGCACCCTGCCCACCCACCTGACGTACGATGCCCCGTGGCCCGTGCGCAAGGTCCCGCTGCGGTGCACGCCCCACTTCGTCAACTACCACGTGGACAGCAAGACGTACTGCGTGGTCACCAGTCAGCCGGACCCCTGCAACCAGCTGGTGCGCTTCACTGGGGATGAGAAGGAGTACGAACTACTCGAGAGGGGTCAGTGGGAGCCCCCTTTCCTCCGTCAAGTTGTTTTGCAAGGGATAATTTGAAGAGTGTCTTCCAGGACGTCAGCCACTGTCCCCATATTTCCCCCCATCTTGTCCTTTCGGTTCCTCCAGCGAGTCGGCACAGTGTGGTTTCTTTTCATGCAGAAAATTAATAATTGTATTGGTGTCGACTCCCATCTCTCGCATGCATGCTGTGGCAGTATACTGTTCGATAATTATTTTAGCTATATTTGACCAGCACTGCCCAAAGGCTGACCCTGTGGTCAGGGGCATTGATGCATTGTTCTTTACGATACACAGAAGTGAAACGAAACTATGCTTACTGACAGGATAAGAACAGCAGGCAGGTCTTCTAGGACCTTCGATGACACTTAGGCGTCTCGTAAGCTTCAAGCGTGCGCTGGAGGCCGGACGTCCGAAACAGATTCCATGCGTTCTCATCCTGTGGGTGGCCGTAGTGAATGTCACAAATCTTTGACTGGATGGCAGAGCTTGAGGTGCCAGATAGTTTCACGCCGACAGCTATTATAGGAACTTCCCAGCTCTGTTTGTGGCGTTGGCGTCGTGCCTGGCGGATAACGCCGTTTCGTGCGCACATGCGTTGCCTTACGAAATCGGACAAAGTGCGTGCACTTGGCTCTTGCCAGGTGACAGTGTCTTCTGTGGTTGGCAGAGGACACCGTCACACATTTCTCACTGTACAACTCTGTTTGCGTGTGCCATCAGATTTAAAGCAACCCATTACTCGTAACAGTACCTGTCTCGATTTAGACTTGAGCAGGATCGTTGTCTCATTGTTCAGTGTGTCCCCTTTCCTACATACTTCAGTGACCAAGCTGTGTTGTGTGTGATTGAGTAAACAAAGAGTGGATACACATAAAAGTGGGTGTTACTATGTGCAACAACAGCCATCGCGGTCACTTTTTCGCACTGCGGCAAAAAGCTGCAGATTTTTTGTGCCCCCCACTTTTTGTGACGGCCATATCTCCACTTCCATTTGTAGCCGACTCGAGGTACATCTTCCCGACGATGGACAAGTTTTCGCTGCAGCTGCTGTCCCCCGTGAGCTGGGAGACGATCCCCAACACCCGGGTGGACCTGGACGAATGGGAGCACCTGACCTGTATCAAGAATGTGATGCTGTCCTCGGAGGGCACCAGCACGGGCATGAAGGGATACCTGGCCCTGGGCACCAACTACTGCTACGGGGAGGACGTCACCAGCAGGGGACGGGTGGGGCACTCCGCTTGTGCTTGCGTCGTTTCTCCGTTCCTTCACTGGTCCTCGCCAGGAGACTACCGAAGTTGGTCTATTGGCATCTCAAAGCACTTTGTTTCTGGCCCTCGGTTCTTGGGCTCATGATCTATCTGTCGCACACTCTGGAATCCTGTCACAGCAGCAAATTGGTACTAACTGGAACCCTCACTGGACAGCTGCACATATTGAATGTTTGATGACACTCGGTTGGCTGAAGTCGCTAACTGTGTCTATGGGCAATAACTGGTTACAATCACTAATTGTCTAGGGAGACTCTTCTAAATTTTGTACGACGGTTATTTTTATTTTAGATGTCTACGTGACAAATATAGTGACAACCTCTAGAATAATCGAGAACTAGTTTCGTACACGAGGGGCATAATGAGTTCCTCCAGGTTTACAGATGACCTTGCAGAAAGGCATTTTATGATATCCTTTACATTGGGGTGGAAATCTAAAAAAATGACTTTGCACTTTGTGAGGATCACTGCAGCTTTTACCTATGCCATTGTTTTTTTTATAAGGTGTACCCTTGTGCTGTAAGTAGCAGTAATTTTACTTTCATGTTCTGATCAAGTGTGCCTCTGACTCCAGATCACCATCCTGGATATCATTGACGTTGTTCCAGAGCCGGGGCAACCATTGACCAAGAACAAAATCAAGGTTGGTGCATTAGGAAAGGATATTGAATGAGCTCTCTCTTCTCTTGGGAGACATTTCATCACACTTGAACATTCACTAGTGAAACTTGTGGGCTGGTTGTAGTACTAGTTAAAACTCAGTCTAACAAAGCTAAGGGGAGCTGAAAATTACTTTGTAAAAGCAAAAATGGCGTTTGTCGCTCAATGATCAAAAATGGCGTTTGTCGGTCATTAAAGCCTAGCTTTAATGTAATGGCATCCAGAGAGCTAGTGCGATACCGCGTTCCCACGGCGCTTGCACGTCGAAAATGTTATTTATGCAGATATGACTTTAGTTTGTGAAGATGACTCACACCGCTTAGAGAAACAAATTAAGTTGTTGTTTTACAGCGATAGCTGTTATGGCCGACGCTGATGCCCAACGAATTTGCCGTGACGTGTTGCAGCTGGACTACTGTGGATTAACACAGAACTGCTCAATTATTTTTTAACACCGCAATCCGTGTGTTTTTATCAGCAAACTGCGAGAGCCAGTCGGGAATCGCATTAAAGTGCGAGCCCCGGCTAGCTTCAATGTGAAGCCCCAACTTCAACCAGAAATGCGAAAAGAGTGCCCCTTTCGTTCCAAACACGAATGATTTTTGCATTGTCTTAAGGGTGAGCGTTTCTTTTTTTCGGGGCTTCATTTTACGGCGACACTGAATTTACTCACAGGACAAGCAAACATTGTCATCTCTTTCTGATAGCTAGAATCCAACATGCACTCATTGTATTTCGTCATGCGTTGGTTGTGCATGCTCGCTCTAAGATTGCACGACACAGGAGTGTCAAATAGAAAGCTTGCCCTGGAGGTGCGACAGCTGAACACTTGTCTGGGCAATGCCCTGTTGATCATACCTGCTGCGCTCATCGTTAGGCCTAACATTACCAAATGTAACTGAACCAGTACCAAACGATTGACAAGGAAAACGAAGATGCTGTTCCTCGTTTGTAAATAACCAACTTTGAAGAAAACAAAGGTATCGCACCTGGTTTGAAAACTAACCACCGTAAAAAAACTAAGATACTGCCGTACATTTACCGCAGAAGAAAAGAAAGAAGCTGCTTCTCTTTTAAATAGCCCCCCTGAAGAAGGTGCCGAGGCGGCACCGAAACGTTGGGACCCTACATCTTTTGGGATTGGTTGGCGTTTGCCCTTTATTTATTTATTTATAACATTTAACCCGACCTGGCAGACGTCTGCCGAGATATTCACCTTCAAGACTGACAAACTCCACCAATGCCATCTGTTGCATGGGACATAAATGAAACACCATAACGAGCCTAGATTGAAGAGAGGGTCCACCTCAAACCATGGGGAGTATTTGCAACCTAACGGTGGACACCTCCTGCAGAGATTGGTCGTAAGCGCACATGTGCTGCATTGTCGTGTGGCGAGGAGGAAAAAAAATAGGCGGAAAGGTGGAGAGGCTTGCAGACGATGAACGCTTTTGCCATCTCGCAGTTCGTATTGCAAATGCGGCCCATAAACCAGGTGACCCCGATTGAGCAGTTGCAAACTCTCTGTAATCTAGGCTTTCTAAAACACCACGAAACAGCTAGCGCCACGCCGAAATTTGGTATAATTGATTGAAAGCCCAGAGTGCCGAGCTTTTTTCTTTTCTTTAAAAACGAGACTAGGGTCGTGCGATTTTATTGCTGGCATGCCAACAACAAACTTTGAGTCATTCTAAATGAAATATACGTACATGAAACCACCCCTTTTTACATTAATCTTTTTTCCAGAAATGCTTTGTTAGATTGAGTTGACGGTCAGATATATTCATTTATTTCGAGTTTGTAGAAGCATTGAACCCCATAGGAATTTGTGTAGGAATGAGAATTTGTTTGTTTAATCATGGATTTCGTCAAATCGGGCTTTGTAAAATTGAGTTTTAACTGCATTCCAATTGAAAGAATGGTGGAATGTGCAGTTCCACTATGGTGTGTTTGTGTTCTTGGTCTAGCTCTTGCTGCATTTTAATTCATGGCATGTGCTCTCGGATTACAGTAGTACCATGGTACAATTTTTTAATTTCACGTCATTTTTAATCAGCATGTTTTTTGGACGTATTTCGTTGTTGCAAGAATAAGCTCTCCCCTGTTTTCAGATCGTTTACAGCAAAGAGCAGAAAGGACCCGTGACGGCGCTCTCTCAAGTCGTCGGGTTCCTCCTGAGTGCCATAGGGCAAAAGGTAGGACGGAAGCGACTCACACTCTGCTTTCACACTCAGCATCTGTGGAGGCCTTCACTTTTATATTATGGTTGCGTGTTTCTCTTGCAGATGTACATCTGGCAGCTCAAGGACAACGGCCTGGTGGGAGTGGCATTCATCGACACTCAGATCTACATCCACTCAGTGGTGACGGTCAAGAACCTGATTCTCGTGGGCGACGTCTTCAAGTCGGTGTCGCTGCTCCGCTACCAGGAGGCATCCAGAACCCTCTCTCTTGTCAGCAGGGTTGGTGGATCTGACAATTATTTGTTTGTTGTTTCGTCATTTCCATTTTTTATGATGAAACAAAGGTTTGAAAAGAAAGTACAAAATGCAACAGGGCAATAGCTTTGGCATCTTCATGATAGTTCTTGACAAAACTGGTGACTTTTGTCTTGCAAGTGACGAGAGAGCTGTTGTTTTACTTAAATTGATCACTGTGGTCATATTGGGCACTTCGTGCCCGCAATATGACGGAGGCTTATTGCGGAGAAGGCGCCGTGTAACCGAGCTTTCGGTTGCACGTCAAAAGATCCCCAGGTGGTCCAAATTAATCCTCAGTCCTCCGCTGGGGCGTGCCAGATGCCCGTCGTAGGTTTGGCACGTAAAACCCCCAAATTTGATTTGATTTTTGATATTGGGCACTTCCAAATAATATTAATAATCATTATTATTCATGATTTATTTATATTACTATGAATTGTATAAATTTATTAATTGTGTCGGTCTCAATCATATATAACAGTAGGAGCAGGGTAGCCAATGCTCGTTAAGTATCTCTAAGGAATGCAGTTTCAGGTTAGCCAACAAGTTACTTGTAAGGAATCCAGCTCCACGTTACCTGTAAGGAATGCAGCTCCAACATGCTCTGTTGCCCTTTGAAGAGCAACAGAATGAGGCTTTTTAGGAGCCGGTAAATTTGCTCACGGTTGGGCGTAAATTGGTACTACTGCAGACTGTTGTTAATTCGACCTCGACGGGACCTTGAATTTTGGTTGAATTATCCGAATGATTGAATTAAAAAAGGACAGAACAACACTTAAAACTAAATTTCCTTTTATTGTCCAAGTACTCTCGGATGGTCTGCTGCCGTCTGCGTCCAAAAGCAGGCTCCGTAGAGCAACGTAACTAAACGTCACGTCCCCAAAAATCGCGCACTACAAAAAAAAAAAAAAAAAAATTTTACGTGTCGATTTTGGCGTTGAGCAGCCAGATTGTCGACGCCAAAGAAAAAAAAAGGAAATGAGAACTTGCGTTTTCTGGCGCACAAGGTGGACCGCACACGATGCTACAGAAAAGCGCTTTGAGAGCGCGCGCGCTGAGAGAGCTTTATGAGCCGACTTTGTCGTTGAGCAACCAAGCCGTCAGCGACAGAAAAGAAAAAAAAAAAAAAAAGGAAATGAGATTTTGCGTTTTTTGGCGTGCAAGATGGACCGCACACGATGCTACAGAAAAGCGCTTTGAGAGCGCGCTCTGTCTACGCCCGACCACGACCACGTGCTATATGTTCTCCGTGCTACTCTACGCCAGATTGGTTGCGCTGACTTGTGTCATTTGCTACAGTCCATCTCGACGGCGTAGAGGAGCAGATGCATATTTGCGCATGTTCGGCTTTGCAGCAAAGGGCCCGTGTTTCGCCGTACGTTGGTGGTTTTTCCTGCCGTGGTGCCGTGCAATGCGAGCCCGCGCGCATTCGCTCGGGACGAATTATTCAATGCGAAGTCTTCCTGAGTTCGAACTATCAAACTTTTCCTTCCATAGAAATGTATGGGCACTCGCCGGGACTTTTGAACATGATCGAATTAAACGAAAAGTCGAACTAACCAAGGTCGAACTAATGAAAGTTTACTGTATAAATTTCATGTGTTTGTGATATATTTTGCATAACCAATTCTTCTCAATTTTTTATGTTGTTTATTATGAAAGTTAAACTGCCACAAAATAGAAGTCGTTACAGCGGAGTGTGTTCTTTCCTTTTTAGGATGTTCGGCCCTTAGAGGTTTTTGCCGTTGAGTTCTTCATTGATAACTCCCAGATGAGCTTCTTAGGTAAGTGCAACATCTCTAAACCTTCGGCATTTTGCTTTTCGGACGATGAGATGTGTACTGTTAGTATTAAGGTGCCTCTTCTGTTTACCCTCTCATTTCTTTACTGATTGTTTCTTGGACTGAGTTCCCCTGTGATGCTGATGGCATTTTGTAACCCTTGTCCAAGCAGGCAAGAAATCTCCTATTTCTCAAATTTAAGTCATTTTATGCATCCTTACATTAGTTTCCTTTGGCATTATAAAAGGGATCTGGTGGTACAATATACACTGAAATATGTGGTTTGCCATAAAACCCCATCAAAAATAAGATTGAGTGTGACTAATTTAGAATGTAAGCGATGTTAACTGCAGGCATATCAACGGGGATGGATAACGAGGACTCCGCAGAGCACTTACAGTGACTTCGGATGATATGCATATATTTTAGTTGTTCATAGTAAGCTGCAAGGATAAAGACCAGTAACTATTTGAGGTATAATTTGTAGGAATTGTCAAAGCAAGAAAAGTGCATTTGTTACTTTGTCTGTTATGGAAAACTCATTTGTTACATATCGGTAGTCATCACGAAAAGCTTTGTACTAAGCTGGATAATTTTTTTATGAACGTTGCTATAACATTAATTTGTTCAGGGCTGTGCTGTACAACACAAACAAGTACCTCATTTTCCAAGCTATAGTCTAGAGACTATGCATTACATGTTTAAAAGGTGAAATTTCTGGCTGTGCTCACTATTTATGCGTGCGGACCATACGGGAATTTTGTTTTTCAAGATTGTTCATTGTGACGAGGCGTGATGGAATTTGTGAATGAAAAGGTATGTTAGTGATGATTTATGTATAATACAAGCTTCTTTGTGAGCTAAGAAAGCAGACATCTGTCAAGGTGTGCCGTGTATGAGAAGATATTCCTTTCAACTTAGCACCAGGTGTGGACTATGCATGGCGTGCAGACTATGCACCGGGTGTGGACTATCTAAGCAAAAACTTTTATTTTTATTGGCCTGAATGGGCCCTAGCAGACTATACACCGTTTGCGGACTATAGCCCGGAAAATATGGTAATTGTCATGTATTGTTTTTACAGCGAAGCTGTTTATGGCTAGGGTTCCGCGGATTCTTCATGTGCGTCAACAGAAACTCTATGCTTGTACCGCCGCACGCGCACACCTTCGCCGTTTAAAAGATTCAGAGTAAATAACCAAAATAAAGCATTGACGAACGCTCGTGCACGATGCCATTTGTTTTAGGCTTTTGCTTCAGAACAGTTACTGCGGCAGATACTGGCATGTGCGGCGCGTGGAACACCATTCCCTGCATTCTTCTTGATGCTTGGGTAATTTAGCAATAGGTCTATTCTGTAGATTAGTTATCAATAGGCACCATTTTTAAGATCAGTAGACTTTCAGGTAGATAATAAAGGTTTCTTAAAGATTTGCTGCTGTACAACCCATATCGGCCATGTCTACGCTCGCACGGCCCTCTCTTTGTCGTCGTTCCCAGCACTTGTGTGCCTGGTTTCCTTTCCTTCGGCTCTCCCAGGGTGGTGGTCTCGTCGTGCGTGTCTAGTTTCCTCCGGCTCCTCAGAGTGGCGATAGTCGTCCACGCGAAATAATGACCACCGATGAAGACAACTATAGGTGTGTGTGTGTACCTTTCGTCATGATGACCACTGATCCAGACAATAAATGTGCTCGTACCTTTGTTCAAAATTCTGTGTCAGGTCTATGTCGTGTGCTAAACAGCTTCACTGGTCATCCACCTTCACAGAGTGGAATGGCTCATGATTTTTTTTATTTTTTTTTCTTAGAATTACAAGCCTGTACTAATTGAAACTACTAGTGTGGCGGAGAGTACTCATTCTTGGCAGTAAAGTAGCAGTAGTGTTTGGCACCTACGTTGAAAAAGCACAGATGTCGTGTTTGTGCTAACGGTGTTGCGCAGTGTACAGATAAAAGCTCCCACAGGAAGCCCTGCTCAGCTCTCCAACTTTGGTGGTATCACAACTCATGCAGTGACGGACTCTGAGCGCAACATGATCCTGTATATGTACCAGCCGGAGTCGAGGGAGAGCTGTGGGGGCCAGCGACTCCTCCGGCGAGGGGACTTTCACATCGGCTCGCCCGTGGTCTCCATGTTCCGCATCAAGTGCCGCATGGGGGAAGTGGCCAAGCACGACCGCCGCCTTGCAGCCAGCGTGGACGGCAGGCACATCACCATGCTCGGTGAGGGCCCTGTCTTGCACGTCACTTCGCGCGAGGAAACGACATGCTGTGGCAGCATCCAGTCGTGTAGCCATTTTAAACGTGAAGGTAGGAAGAAGAGGATATGACATACCGGCTCAAGCCAGCCAAACGACAAAACCCCAAGTGAAGCCGGTAGTAGAGGTCGTGGTCGGTGGGAACGTCTCCAAGGGTGACCAAAACAGCTTCTGGCGCCAAATCAGCTGTCCTTCCGTCCAATAGGGTCTTTTAGTTTTGTTCGGTTTTGGTCATCATTGGAGGCATGTCCCTCCAAATCGGAAGTCTCCCTCGCCTTCACCTCTGGTAACGTCATGTCGCCTCCAAAAGCTTTCTACCTCCGTGATTTTAAAGGTTCCTACGCCTTCTGAGAGTTCTGAAACAATATACCGTGGAGGATTAAAGCTGTGGTCAGTCTGAAGTTTTTAGCTCTTCATATTAGTTTGCATGTTGCTCAAGCATTGCAATGTTTTCTTTTGTTCCGTGTCCATTGCTATGTGATAAAAACCCTGTTGGTTTCAGTGTGCTATTGGTAATGGACTATGAGCCAGTGTGTGCAGTGCTGTAGATATTCATGTTCATGGCTATTACATTTTTGAGTAACATATCTTTTATGAACTGATGAGCTAATTGGGAACTCGAGGACTCATTGTGATTGATTTATGGGAATTATGAAATAAACTCAGGGTGTCTAGCGACCGAGAAAATTGGGAATTGTTAGGGAAATTTTAATTACCGGAAAAAATCTGGGATATTGTCAAAAAGTGTGCCCTGTCTTGGAAAATGAGCTGGAAACGCCATCGAGTTGCCTGAGCAAAGGCTCGACGGCCTGGGGGCAGAAAAATAGGCAATAAATTCTGCTTAGAGCGGAGCACGGGCTCTGCTCACCCGATGTGGAGTATGCTACCCGATGCAAAGGGAAGAGCCCACGAATCCAGTCCAAGCCTTGGATTGGATTGAATTAGATTAGGGGCGCGACATTAGGCTAGATTCAGTTAGAGCTACTAGATTTAGTAACAAATTGGAAAGTCGCAGACCCCAAGTTAATCCGAACCTTAAGCCGAAAGTGTGCATCTGGCAGCCATGCCGCCACGCTGCCACTTGGTTATTGATGTGTGTGGTTGAGCATCGTGTTTTCATTGTATTTCCTGGAATGGGCCTCTTCTCTAACGATGTCGGCGGCAAGAAAGTGCTCATTTTTCCGTGGTGGACGAACCCAAATATTTCGAACAATGCAAGTTGGATTAATCATGTGCAAAATGATCCTCAATGCTTAATGCCTAGTTTTGTGATGATCTTATATACTTAACAGCCTCTACAGTGATCATGGAATTTCACCTGAAATTGTCAGGGGAAACCTGGAAAAGCAGCAGTGAACTGACGAATTGCAAAATGTGTCATGTCATAGGCATTTCAGTTACATGTTGAAAGACTCCGATGTACTCTAACTTGACTCTAATTGTTTATTGCGGTGAGCAAAGTGTCCGTTTGTCCAGCACCTGAAACAAATATTTTTTTTTTATTTTCTAAAAACATCCGGCTTCAAAACCCACTTTTCCTGCTTCGAAACACTGTTTTAGCTGCTCCAAAAGCCACTTTTGTTGCTCCGAAATACTGTTTTGGCTGCTCCAAAGGCCACTTTTGGTGCTCCAATACATTGTTTTGGCTGCTCCGAAAGGTGCTCCAAAACGGCTTAGGCCAATATCATCACTGGGAAAAGTCAGGGAATTTCAAAATAATGATTTGCTAGACCACCTTAACCTGTACAACCCCTAATGTTCGCGAGTCCCTCATTTTCGCGAATTTCGTGACTTGGAAAATGTGCAAGCTTTAGGGGGCGAGTAGACATCAGGTTGTTTTTGTCCCAGACCTTGGAGGGTGTTTACCGTTGGGGACCAGGGGTAATTGGGAAGATGGGGTTCGGATGCTGTGAGGAGTTGGACATCTTGTGGCCGACAGCAGAGAGTTAATCGACATAGAGGCTCACATTGTATTGAATACAACAAACCAAAATAAATTTTATTGCTGCATAAAACAATGAGAGGAAGACAGTACAAATATTAAAAGCTGAACGTAACTGCTGCGCAAAGCTTACATAGTTAAGCAGTTACAAAGACGGACGCATTGACGTCAAGCGTTTTCCCGCGCACAGTGAGGATGGCGGCTAAGCCGCAGAGCAGGGCCTGTTATACACAACAGAAGTAGCGCGGTGAATCACGGGAGAGAACTACTGGGCCACTCGGGCCCTTTCAAACTCAACGGTGCCCTATCCGTTCAGGGGTTAAGACAGTGCGCCGAAACCTGTCCCATCCAATCCGGGTCTACAGTCACCAACCGATTTTTTCGGGCTACAATAATTCAGATTCGCTCAATATTTTGGATCTAGAGGAGGAACCATGACCTACCCAATGTTTTCTAATCTGATTTTTCGGACTGCTCTATTATTTGGATGTTATTTCGGTCCCTGCGAAGTTCGAAAAAACGGTCGGCGGCTGTAGTTACAATCTCATTGGGTACAGATCCCGATGCACTCCCGACCAATCGGGCAGAAAACACCATCCTCTCTTAGGACTAACAAAACTCAAATCGACTCAAGCTTAAACATTAAAAGAAACAAGCTCTGGTTTGTTGGGGAGGGAGTGGCCGAGTGGGCTAACGCGTCTCAGCTCGGAGCGTGGAGCGAAAGCTTGCGCTGGGAACCTCCTGGGTTCGATCCCCGCTGCCCCGCCCGTTTCGATCTGGATGAGTTTCGTACCGGCACGCGTTCGTGTGATCACTACTGCGTGATGCACGTTAAAAATCCCAGGTTAGCGGTTGTACCGCACTGGCTAAATTTCTTATCTACAGCTAAGAGACCGATTATCCGTTGAGGCGCATCTCCATCAAGGCTGTATAAATATAAAGAGCAAACCAATTTTTTTTTTTTGCTTTGGTTTGTTTATGAGTTGGAGAAGGTCTATCGATTCAAGACTGTCTGGGCGAGAATCATCAACGCGTGCCTAACAAGGGAAATGGTCTTAGCACAGAGTGCGAGCATTATGTACTTAAAAAAAAAAAAGATAAATTGAGAACATGCCAGCCACAGCGCACATGTGTCTCGCGACCGCAAGCGTAGCGGAAGACCCATGGTATTCACCCTCAGCATTCCGGGAATCGGAAAGCCACTTCACGGGGGATTCTGATGGGGTTGCGTGCATGCCGGCGCACAAACCTCAGTTGCCCTCGGAGCTACTCCAGCCAGCGTCTCGAGCCACTGGAACATGGCTTGGATGACGTCGTTCGAGCCCAAAATATGGCCACGGTGCTCAGTTTAGTATATGGAATCACGTGCCAGCCGTTTGACGGGAGCACTTTCTAGCTCCGAGTGCCTGTGATGGTTTGCGTTCCCTGGCGTCCCCGGGTCAGGAGCAAGCTCTGAGGGTAACGGCTCACAGTGGGATAGATATATCTCCGCTTGTGGCTGAAAAGTGCGGTTCAACACGCACCGCGAAATATAAAAAGATTATTCAAAACAACACGCCGATACGGCAGCGAGCGAAAATGGACCACCTCTACAGGGCGCGAATATTTCTATTGTCTGGAGAGGCAAATTCCAGTCTTTAGAATTTGCAAAAGTTAACGGTCAAGAATACGACCTCGCCGCCCAGTTTGCAAGAAATTGGGGCCGCGAAAATAAAGGGTTCATCGATATTGCTGTTGTGTTGAAAATTGAACACATATTTTGCCTTCATCTGACACTGGATGCAGATGAAACAAATTGAGTGTGGCTGTAAATTATTTAAGATTTTCCCAGCTCGCTGACTGTGTGACTCAAACATCTGCAAAATTAATTGGCTAGATTAGAGCCAGCAAACTTGGGGGCAATTTCCACATGTATGATGTGCAACGGACATTGATTGTGGTTTCAACATTACAGGCAACTTATGTACACATCAGCAGTCCTCAAACTTTTCGATCTCGAGGAGAGGCTATTTCTATTCGTTAACAGCCAAGGAACCCCTCCCTGGTCTCGACATTAATGCATTAAAGCTGCGTGGAAGCCTACAGACCTCGTAAAACAATAATGTGCACACTGGGCATTGCTTGGCACACGTTTAAGGATCAGTAGCTAAAATATTTAGCACTTTAGGCTAAAAGAGCACTTTATCTGAAGGCATAGATGGCTGAGGAAAGGATTTGGGGAACCCTTGAAGGCACTTCGGGAGACCCTGGGTTCCTAGGTACCCTTTATTATTTAGGCTTCTTTTAACCTTTTTCTGCTCATTGTTTTTCCAGCTACACTCGATGGAAGCCTGGGCTATGTGCTGCCAGTGCCGGAGAAGACGTATAGGAGGCTGCTCATGTTGCAGAATGTGCTGGTCACCAACATGCCACACTATGCTGGCCTCAACCCTAAGGCTTTCAGGTGGGTGGGCACCTCCCAGTTTTGGGAATAGGACGGTGCTTTCCTCTGGGACTCCAGCCAGGGAAGATAAGCTGAAAACTCCAATGCAGTAAATGTCATGACAGTCACCGACCGATCATTCGGACTTCTCAGGGATCGAAAAAACGTCCGAATAAGAGAGCAGTCCGAAAAATCAGCAGATTGAAAAACTTGCCTTTACTACTTCCAAGTGGGCTTAAAAAAGCCGTAAATAGTGCCTTGTTTCAGGTTACGCCTCCGTTTGGGTTCGGCAACGTTCTGTTAGCTTGAGAATCACTGCATTCTTTTCTAGCGTTATGGTCGAGTACTACTTTCTGCACTTCTTAACAATACATCGCAGTGGCAGAACAACAGATGGGGCCATGACATCCAAGCCAGTGCTGTCCGAACGAGATAAGGAGTACAAATCCACGAGCGCAAAATGGCGGCTGGTGACGCGAAGGAATGGAAAAACAAAGCAAACTGATAATAATGATGATGATGATGACGGCCAGCTAAATGGAAAAAAAGGGTTAGCATAGCGTCACCTAGCGGTAGGACTCAGGAGTACTCAAGTAGCGCTGCCAAACCAAGCCGATCCATTTGCAGCCAACATAGAATTCAAAATGGCCGCTTCTCTATGGCTCGCGATGATTTTGTCTGAATAATCGAGCTTTCGGACTTCAAACTGTCTGAAACATTGGTCACGAATATGCACTATTTCTAAGGCGTAAGTCACGGTTCCGCCTTTAGGTCCGAAATACCGAACAAGTTTGAATTATCGGAATCCGGAAAAAGGGTCGGCGACTTTATACAATACAAACCTGTTGATTGTTTTTCAGCTTCTTTATTTTCATTTGTTTTAAAGGGGCCCTGCAATCATATTTAAGCGTCTACCTTTTTTGTGATTTCCACGTCTGTTGGGGTTCGGGCAAGCCAGCGGGCACAAAAATAGTAACTAAATATCAGTGCGTCATATTTTAACCGGACGACACAAAAACCTCCACTTACAAGGGCGACCTGCGGTGCCTAAAGCGCGCAATATGTGACGTCTTTGGTCCTGAGCTTACCACTGAACAGAGCTGCTAAAAGCTTCTTTTTAGTCGAAATACAAGATATAAGTGGTGCAAAATGTTTCAATTATTTATAAAAGTAGTTTGTGTTCACTATTTTAGATCAGAAAAGAAACAAATGCAGTTTAAGAAGTACGGAAATAAGAAATGACCCGTCGACATACCTGCCACCAAGCGGTGGAAAAGGCGGCGCATACTAGAAAGGTGTGGGATCAGGCACCAACGAACGGCGAGCGTAGAAAGGTCCCGGACGTACGCGGCGGCACTGCGGTCGTATGGACTGGAGGATCCGATTGGTTCCGAGCGTTCCCAAGGCCTTCAACGATTAGCTTTGGCTTGCCATTGGTCCTTTTGGCGGTATGGCAGCGCGACGTGGCTCCCATTCTGAACTGATCTTTACCCCGTGTTTTCTGTCATTTATGGCCAATGAAGTGCCATGCCGAACTAGTGTTTAATCGCGCAGCAAATGCAATGCGAGCCGCCTTGGCTGCCCGCTTCATACAGCCTAGCCAGAACATGCTTTAGTGGTGCCCTCTCAAGCCGTCGACACGGAGTGTGGCAGCCTGACCACCCGCTGAGCTCACTACTCCTCCTCTAGTTCACGGCCACTCAAGCAATGAAGGAGGTTATTTTTTGCTTGTTTTTGTAATTTCAATTTGCCTATAACTTTTAAAATAAAGCAAAGTTTGAGAAAAGAAAAGTTCGATTAAGTTACTACTTTCAGTGCGCTCAGGTTCGGTGCAAATTAAAAACCAGTAACAAAGTCCTTGCAGGGCCCCTTTAAAGCCTGAAATTCTTTTTAATGCTACACCCCAATCCCGAAATTCTGTCTCTCCATTCGTGCATTTCCCGCTAAATTTAGTGGGGAAATGGATGTCACGTGACCTATACGCAAATTCAGTTTCACCACTAAATTTAGCAGGAAATTTGATGTCGAGTGACCTGACGTCATGCGACTTATATACACAGATTCATTTAAAATAAAATAAACAAATTGAAGAACTAATATTTCTGAAAGGGCAACTCCGGTCAATATTTTTTTTTTAATTATTATTTGGGATTGCAACTGTTTTTAGCTAAAGCAGTGTCCCTGAATTACAAGGTATATTTCTTGTTTCAATATTGCATGTGGTTTTATAAATATTACGGCTCAAAGTCTGATTTTGGCCATCTACGACAAAACTGAAACTACCTGCTAGAGGGATGGCACCACTGATCATTTGCCGTACGGTCGCGACGTGACGTCACGAGGGTGCTGCGGTATGCAGTACAACCAATAAACCGAAGCTCCACCACGACGTGACGTCACAAGGGTGCTGTGCCAGTGTTCCTTGACTAAAAGCTAATCCGCTTGCCGCCCTCTAAAGAGCAGCTGGTCACATCTTTAAGATTGGTTTAGTGGAATACGCAACTTCACTTTGACGTAATATTACGGCTGGGATCATATTTCGTGCCACTAAGGCGATACCAGCCATTTATTTTGGTTTCGTTTTCCACCAGAGTGTCCCTTTAAATACTGCATTTCATGTATTATAGAACTTTAAAGTTAAAGGTTGCTGCCAATTCTTTTTTAAATTGTTTTCTTGTTATTTACTTCCTTTCTCATTGTTTAAGGGTAATGGCATGGAAGATCATAGTCAAATTGCCATATCTAGGCTTGATGTCTTCCGTGCTTTTAGACCTACCCTGGCTCATAAAAGGAAACACTTGATTCCAACGTTACATTGGGAAATTTGGAAAAGGTTGTCCCGCAAAAGGTTAAATGCTAGCCGAGCTACTTTGTGCTTGGAAAACGGAAAGTTGGCCATATGAAGGAGCGAGGAAAGGGCAGGTGGGCACAGTAATGATAAGAGTCTCTGTTGTGCCATTAGCATATAACAACTAGTAGTGTCTGTTTTTACTGTGAAACATGCTACCCTTGTTTGCTTGTAGGATGTACCATTCCCAGAGACGGGTTTTAGGGAACCCCCACAAGAACATCCTGGATGGGGAACTCATCTGGAAGTTTATGCATTTGTCCTTCATGGAGCGCAGTGAGCTCTCAAAGAAAATAGGAACCACAGTCACTCAGGTAAGGTTTCCGCTTTGCATTTTCTCATTGTGGTTGTCTAATATTATTTTATTTGAGTGAAATTGGAGACTTTGGCTACTTTTTCTCATTGTTGGAGCTTTACATTTTATTTTCCAGATCACGGATGACCTGCTGGAGATTGAGACCTACACTGCACACTTCTGAGCTTCCGAAGCCGTCGGCTTTGACCAAAGCTAATGTACATACTCATGATCATGGCTCATGAATCAAGTGGATCATTAAAAAGTTATGTGTGATTTTAGTTTTGGAACTTGACTTTCTTTGTGTCTGGGCATTGGTTCGCAATTTGCAGTATTAGTCTTGAGGACATAGATGAGTGCACCCAAAAATGGATTCTACATGCATCAATTTTGTCAGGTATGATCAAAAAACTGTTTTGATGCTGCAGTAGTGCTAATGACAATGTACAGCATGGACTTGTCAGAGATCCAGAGAGAGGCTTGCACTTGATATCTTATTCTATTTTGTATAATCTGAGTTATAGATATTTACTTCGACTGGACACTGCTTATCGAGCAGCAGAAGAAAATTTTTATGTACGATGGTGGCACGAGTTCGTTCCCTTCGAGGAAGAGAAAGTTTATTCCATTCCTCTGAGGTGTGGAAAACAGTATATTAGGCTGACGGGGAGGTGCGTAACCAAAGACTCGGAGGGCATCATTTGGAAGTTTCACGGTCGCTAGTGGATTCCTTTCACCCCATTGTCGTTCATGGCCGCACATGCGCTGACTGCGTTTCTTGTTTCAAGAACAGAAAAGTTTGGGGAGTGCAACAGATTCGGCAAGGAAATCATTGAACCATTCACCACGAACTCCGTTGACAATAATGTGTCGGTGCCTTTCCTTGTTCTTTCCAAATAAGAAGTAACCTACTTGACTCCGGAATTAGCCTAGATTAAAACTGCTCTCCACCTCATCCAAATTTTGTGTTTACCATGCTGCTACTTCACATTTTATCTTGTTTCCTTTTTCACAATTTTATCTTTACACTTTCTTTCTTCCTGCCTCTTTTTTTTTTTTTTTTTGCGGTTTTGAATTGCAGGGAGGGCTTTTAAAGACCGACGACCAGTTCGCGCTTTCCACTTTTCCCCCGCTTCCTCCTCTCCCCCTTTCTACACTGTCCACCATCGCCTATTTCCTCCTCCCCCATGGTGAGGAGGATCTTCTGCCTTGCAGAATCTCGAGTCTGGTCGTCGGCCTTTAAGCTCATTTCTGTCGTTGCTAGCTGAAAAAAAAAAACGTTCAGCCTTTCCACTCCCGTGAAGAAGGAGGATCAACGGAGCTGTACTTTATACACTGCCGCTACGCGCACGCGCCCGTTTCCCGTTTCTTCTCGTCCGACCTCCGCCGATCGTGGATACGTCTCCGGAGAACCAGAGTCGAATGAAGCGCACGCGGCACACGTGACGCCAAATGGGTAATCCCCGAACTCCCTCCGGATCCTTGCCGTCGCGCCCGGGAACTGTTCAGCCGGCGTGGAGTGCAGTCGCCGCCGGGCCTCGCACTTGCGCTTGGCTTCTGTGGCACGATCGTCGTTCATGTCGTTGGCCCGCCGGTGCCGTTTACATTGCTGGTTCTGTTCTCGGCGGAGGCTTTCGAGGCGAGCGATGTGCTCTTCTTTGGCAAGGGATTCTGAAGTGCTCGACGCAGTGGAAGTCGAAGCGACAGCAGCTTTGCGGAAATTGCGGCCCCATTCGCGCTGCTGCGTATGTCGCCGCTCCCCAGTCTTCTTTCTCCGAAAGGGCACGCGGCCGACCCATCCTAAGTCCAAACCGAAACTGATAAGAGCATAGGAAACAGCATGCAAAACAGACGAGGATGAAGAAACACACGTGACGAACGCTGCGCTCGTTACGTGTGCTTCTTGTTTGTCGTCGTCTGTTTTTCGTGCTGTTTCCTACGATGAATTCCCACCAACGCGCCCAACTATCCATTCTATTATAGCCAAGGAGGTTAGAAGTACTAGGAGGGGGCACGAAGCCTATTCATAAAAGGTTTAAACAATATTGTACCCAGCGTGACCGCAGATCTCTGGCGATCGGTGCGTGTGACATGTCGCGTGTGAATGGATAGTGGATTGTAGGAGGGATTCCTTGCAGGCTTGCGCGCACTCCGTCCGGTATTGCAATGTGCCCCCTCCTAGTACTTCTAACCTCCTTAGATCGAAGGCTAGATGAAGGCTAGCTACGGTCACATGATGTGGTCATGTTGGGCTGATAAGTGAGGAAAGTAAGGAGGAAAATGAGAAAGGCGAGGCGTTAAGGGAGCATGGCTTGTGGAGGCTACGCCGCTGACGTCGTGCCCTCCTACCCTTCTATTCTCCATGATTATAGCTGGAAAGGTTGCCGCCATCTATGAGCAACGGTGGCAAGCAGACTGGTTGTGTGCTTGCCGCCGTCGCTTATAGATGGCGGTAGCTGTCCAGGTAGGTTTGTGTCGACATACTGGACACGATCCTGAAGAAGCTTAGCAGCTCCGCTGTAAAATGTTCGTCGACCTTCGTCCCGAGTTTGTTTTATTCTTTCTGTGGTCAGTTAAAACATACCCAGGCAACATATTTGCAAGAATGTGAAGGTAGTCTTGTTGGGTCATTGAAATAGGATAGGGTCAACACTGCAAACTTGTTGCATTAAAAAAAAAGAAAAAAAGAAACAATCTTGATTTACGATGGTACTGCCACATCATACTTAGGAGGCAGATTGTGGTCCCCAAAGAAAGTTTAATCGCTTCAACCACGAGTTGGGAGGTGTTCCGTGTGTTCTGGTGTGTTTGGAAGTGGTTTGAAAGTGCTACCTTCGTGTGTAATTTTTTCTTGCGTGTGAATTAAATATATTTTAATGTTCGACGGCGTCTAGCTGTAAGTACGACGTCGTAAAACAAGTTATTACTCCAAAAAGAGAGAGAATAATTCACAGCATATTCACAGCTGACGTTAGAAAATGTGTTCAGCCAATATTGGTTCAGCCACGAGCTCAGCGGTTCGATGAAACGCAAGTTGGCACCACTGTGTGTTTGTTTGTTTGGCCTTCATAAAGATGGCGGCAACAGCCGCGATAGCCGCACGCGAAAAGCAGCTAAAGAAACTTCGAAACTTTGTGGACAAGACGGGAAAGCAGCTAGATTCCATCTTGGGAAGCTTAAAATGGACCAAGGAACGAATCCTCGAGAAAGTACGTATATAAGCAGCCGCGAGGAGCGTGCGTACCGTAGGAAAACGGTTATGAAATACTGTCCTCGCTTTCTCATTATACGTACATTTTGACTGATTAAGCTTCTTTAAATTCTGCTCTTATCTGGTTTTTAAACTTCATTTTATTTACTGTACTCCTTAGAAGGGCTACGTTATCTGCCCATTTGACCCGGGACACAAGATGCCGGCATCATCTTTGGACAAACACTTGGAGCTGTGCTCATGGTTGAAGGAGGGTTACACGAGAGCTGAAAAGGTGCGTGAAAGAAGACTGAGATCTTGTTCTTTATTTTCTGTGCTCCCGCTAATTTGTTGTTGCATTCAGGAGGAAGCACCGCCAAGTTCGCATTTCTTCTACGCCAATTCGACGTCGGTAGTCCCTGTGCTCATCGGTATGAGAGCCGACCTTGGCCGTGTGCCCGCAGTTTTTAGTCTCCTTCGAAACACTTTCTTTAAACCTTCTTTTCTTTCAAATGCAGACAGAGAAACGCAGCAAAAGGTCATAACTGAAGCTGCATTCAGAGGGGAAGTTGCAGGTAAGCGGTTTTCATGAATGCATAATTATTGATGTTCATGTTCCAGAGGCCATGGTTTAATTAACATAAACATAAAGCGCGATCCAAACCAACGCTTCTTTTTGCGCCTGTAGGTCGTGCGGCTGCGGATGTGACGCATTTCATGGCGTTTTTGCTGTTTCCGGGCGCGCTTTCTGAGTTAGAACCGTGCGCTTTGGTTTGGACGGGCGAAACTTCGGGCGAGCGCGCACGCAGGCACGAGCGCACAAGCAAGGTGCAACTGCGACAGACTGGCCGGCCAGACGGCGAGAGAAAGAGAGAGAGAGAGAGATCGCGTTGCCATGTTGGAAGAGAATAAAAGGGGGGGAGGAGAGGGCAACCAGACGGCGGGAGACGCGGAGCCGGAACTAGCTTGCCCTCCACCGATTGGCCGGGACACAGGAGCGCCCTACTACGTCACCGCACGTTTTTGTGCGCGTTGAAAAGAAGTTGAAATTATCCAACTTTCTTGTGCGCGCCCGGAAGGAGCGAAGAGGCGGCGCGACGTCACGAAAATACGTCACATCCGCAGCCGCACGACCTACAGGCGCAAAAAGAAGCGTTGGTTTGGATCGCGCTTAAGCGGTTAATTCGCTCAATCCGTCAGTTTGCTTGTAAAGTAAAGTGACGTTCAATTTTTTCATGGGCAAAAGAATAAAATGGAGGGATAATTGCAGGTGCTTGTTCGATGTCACTTAGCTGTGTCCATGGTACCGGTATTTTGTACCAGGACGAAAGTGGTATGTCTTGAGACAGATTTTGTGTCAAAAGGACATAAGAAGTCTGCGTGCAAAGGCGCATGAGTATGTAAAAACAAATGTTTAGGACAACTGGGGGCCGTTTTAGAAGCTGCACGTTTTACAGAGGGAGCACCCCTCATTGTTTCACCATGGGGTTGTAACGCTTAGCATGGACACTTACCTGGGCACAGATCCTTGGTGTAGTGATTCCTGTCTAAATCTTTGAAAATGTGTGGTGCTGATGTGGATCATTGTTTCCAGCATTCATTACTCCCACTTCAGCCATTGTCATGGTGTTCTATGCAACTGGAATATTGTATCCTCTCTCTAAAAGATATCCTTTTGCTTTGCAAAGATGGTTTGATTTGCACTTGAAATCTATGAAGATGGGACTTGTTCACGAGACCAGGAAGGTTTGCAAGCAAAAAGTTATTTACACCTTGTGACTGTTATTGCTACATTTGACTTTCTGTATTATAAATAATGCACTTTTTCATCATCGGGAACATTCAAGTATGTAAGTGACTTCTAGCAATATTTTAAATGTTGCAAATCACTTATTGAAAGTGTAAGAAAATGGTTGGACACATTGAATGAAAGCTCACAAATTTGTTTTCATAGTATTACAGAGTTAAAACTTTCTAATAAATTGATGCGAGAGAGCATCCCTTGCAACTTATGTAACGTTCAGACTTCTTTCGAAACTTTTTTGAAGTTGCAACAACTTGCAGACCTTAGAAAATAACTTTCAAAGAACTAGAAGTCTAAATAAAGCATAAGAAAGCAACCTTCAGCACCAGAGTGCTCTCGTTCTTGACTTGAAATGCTTGCGTACCACGAACAGCGGAGGCATGCCAGAAGGTGAAGAATGTACCGTTGACGATGGCTCGCTGCATTGTGGAACTGAGTCCGGCGGAGCGGTTTGCGATCTACGACTACACGGTGGCACGTGCCAAGGCTGCAAACAAGACACCCTCCATCAAGCTTGCAGACCTCCAGATCAACTTTGAGAAGAAGGACAATGGTAGTGAGTGTTTGGCCATTCTATTTATTTTTTTCCTTAGCACAGGCACATTAATCATTAAGTAATGGAGACACATGGCTGACCAAGATGTAGCTGTGCCAAGAAAACGTCAAATGCATAACTTTGGACCGCATAAACAAACTCGTGTGTGGAAAAATCAAGAAAATGTTGTAGCTCTTTTAATAGCTTGAACTACAACCTGCAATAATGCATGCAGTAAGAGGAATGGCAAGAGGCATGCATACATTCTGTACAAAGGCATGTTAAGTTCTAGTCCTGACTGCGACCGAGTGTATTTGTTCCTTATGCAACCGTAATAAATATGTTGGAATAACCAGCTTTATTGTTGTCTCATATATAGCTTATAGTTTGAGGGCAACTGTATAAAATTGAAATTGTTGAAGGCAGACAGTGTGGTTTGGTATGAACATGTAGTAGTTTCTATGGTATTACTTTGCCTTCCAGCTTGGAGTGTTCCATGTAGGCAAACACTGTAAAGATTTGAACCTTGGATCTAACGAACCCTGATCTAACGAAATTCGCGATTTAACAAAACTTTTTCGTCTCCCTATCTTGCTTCCATTGTAGACAATGTATTTGATCTCTCGATTTAGCAAAGTGCTTTTGTGCCACAGTTTCGGTTTAACAAAGTCTTTAGAAATCACACATACACATATCAACAACCACCGCGAGAAAAAAAAAATTTAACAGAAACAAACCTTGTTGTCAAAAACTAAGCATAAAATGTGCAATCATTATCTTTTTCACAAAATAAAGTGTGCATCGGTGGTGGTGGTGGGGATGATAAGTAGCCTTTGCCTCATGGAAAAAAAAAAGTCCGCCATTACATGCACGTACACCCAAAGGACTAGACCTCTTGCGCATCTGCAACAACAAAAATCGTTTCATGCCTCGAGTGTTGTGCTGGAAGTGGTTGTGCTCTTGGAACAATGAGTTGGAACAATAAGTGCTGTACTGTGCAAAAAGGAAGTTCTGTCACTGGACATCAAGGCAAGAATGATCGCTGAAGTGACGAATGGCAAAAAGAAAAAAATGGTTGCTGAGAAATATGAAATTTTGCAGAGTTTGCTTTCGACAATTTTGAAGTTGAAAGACAGCATCATGGCGACCGTAAGTGCCAATTGTTCAAGTACCGAAAAAAAGAACTTGAAGACTGCTGCATACGTCGACGTTGAAACGGCCCAGTTTACCTGTTTCATTGGCATGCGGGCTAAGAACATGCCTTTGAGTAGAGAGCTGCTTCATCAGAAAACCCTGGACTTTGCTTGCATACTTCGATGCGACGGCTTAGAAGCCAGCAGTGAGTTTTCACATGTGGCACCATCTGTCCGCAGTCACGAGCGGTCCACTCCGCGGTGGTGCATTAGTTTCATTTTGCTTTCTTGATTGCACGCTGTCCTGTGGTGCTAGGCTCTGCTCCCAGGATTGTGCAAAATGAGGGTCGATGAACTGCATCCTTCTATTACTGACACATTTTGTGTGGAATCTTGTTTGTAAATGCTCACTTGCAAGATGTGAGGCAATTGGAGGGTTTTGGAAGCCTGGAAGACCAATTGCAATGCTAAAAAACAAAAACCTCGGTCCAACGAAATTCGCAATTTAACGATATGTTCAGCTCAAAAGACGACTTCGTTCAATTGAGGTTCAACTGTATAGACGTTTTAATGAGTCTTTGCTTGGGTGCTGATTTGGCCAATTTGACTGTGTACTTTCAGACCAAGAACATCCACCGAGCGAACTTGAGATCAAGTCAAAGATGCGAGACTACAAGCGCCGACGCCAGTCCTATCGAGCCAAAAATGTGCACATTACTCGCAAGTCCTACACAGAGGTGCTTCATTAAGTTTTTTTCTCACCCCTTGCGAAAGCTGCTTGCACTATTCATATTGGCCTTCTTTTAGACTGCACTCTTTCATGTTGACACTTTTCCGAAAAACCTGACAACCTGACTCGTAAATTTTTGCAGGTTCTCAGGGAGGTGATCGAAAACCAGGCTGACTACCTTAGGCACATGCTGAAGGAAGACGATGAAAGCATTGCCGTATCAGAAAGGTGTGTGGAACACTTTTTTTTAGTCTGCATTTGAATGTCAACTATGAATAATGTTTTAGGAAATGTTTCTTTTAATCTGCGATATACAATTGCCGATCGATTTTTCGGATGCCGATAATTTGTGGCGAATGGAAATACAGAGGAAAATAATACTGCGAAGTGATAACTTCCCCTGTACGGGGTTGGGAAGGAGGTGGTCGGGTGTTATAGCTTATCCAAGCTCGGGAGTTGGCTGGCTCGTGGGATTATGTCCCGATTACGGGGACAGAAGTCCCTCGGGATCCCACGACCTGGCTCGATTACGGAACGACAGCTCTCGAGCCCCAGCACGAGTTTCCCATCAAAGTCACTCGTTGGTCTGTCCCCTTTCCACTCATTCACACTGTAAGCGGATCCGCGTTCACAAAGCGGTTGCGAACGCGGTTGTATAAAGATCCAGCACAATTGCAAGCGCACTCGATGACATCAAGTGCGCGTGCAATTGTACTGGATCTTTATACAACCGCATTCGCAACCGCTTTGCGAACGCGGATCCGCTTGCAGTGTGAATGAGCTGATTTAGTGGACCGGTGAATCCTCGACGCGTCGTGAGACAGGCGTCTCCCACCGCGAACCAATCGGCTCACTTTCTCGCCACGTGGCAATTGCTTATATTCCCGGGTGGGAACCCACAGTCTGCGTACATCTCACGGTCAAAGGTCGGGCTGGTTCGGATGCAAGCAAAACCATTTTTCGCAAGGCGAAGCGAACAGCCGACCCCAGTGTGGATAGCACCGACTAAGTGAGCCATCCCGTAATTCATTCCGCCAGACGCGGTTTGACGTTGCCGTTATGCCGCGACCCCCCCCCCCACACACACTCGGGCGAGAAAAACTAAACCGAAAACGCGCCGTGTAAACAGCGCCGGCCAGAGCCACTGCGTTCTGGTGGTGGTGGTATAACTTTATTTTCCCGGCCAGGAACGCGCGCTCCGATTTACTCGGCAGAAAACGCGTGTTCCGAACCACGCATTGTAAATTACGCCTGTCTCTCGAGGTCGCCCGCCAAGGGAAGTGTTTAGACCAACGCTTTCCCCCCAGCCAAATCTCCCTGGTGCTAGCGGCCCACCCGCGGAGCCCTCGTCGATCCTTACAGTGGCTTTAGGATCTCACATCAGATTGTGGATTCAAACCTCGAACTGTAGGTTTCAATTGCACCGCTATAATTGCTCAAAGGGGGCTCTGCTATTGAAGTAAGAGTGAGTGGAACTAGAACTTTTATGAAAGGAAACTTTTCTGTGTTCTTTTGCAATAATGGACAGCGCTGCAATTCTGAAAGTTTGTACTAAAGGGGCAAAGCAACAAAAGAAGAAGGAGAAAGCATGTGCACATCGCAGGAGCCGCTGTGAGTCGCAGAACATCCGGGGCAACGGATGTAGATCTGATCTCATTAGTTGAACTAAGAATAAATGTAGACTTTGTTACATAATTGGTCATGTGTGAACACTGTTAAAAGCTCAAAGTTTATTGTGTCTATTCAATAGCTTGTTTTTTAAGCAAAAACACATTGACCTATACTTTTCAGCATAGATAGCACTTTTCGCTGTGGTGATGATCAGGTACTGCAGGCTTTGCCATTTGCCAGTTTATGTCAAAGTAGTATATAGAGAACTGGCAACAATTGTTAGTTCAACATAGAAACCAAACACTGTCTAGGGCATTCCTGCATGATGATAAAAATTATTCTTAGTTGAGTACATGTGATTTCAAATAAGTTTGGAATGATGCCAGACATTTAGTGCTGTTAGGTACGATGACTACGGTAGACAAAAACATGTTAATATTGAAATGTCACATTCGGTTATAGCTGAAACAGCAATTTCAATGAGCTTAGCGTTTGGAGGGGGCTAGCTCTAAACCCAAGCTCCTTAATAGTTTCCTGAATATAAGCTTTGAAATTGAATTATTTTGAGGGCTGTTAAGGTATATTTTGATTTCTAAAATTTTCTGTAATGGAAGTATCTCACTTTCCATCCTAGGTCAGCTGTTTTTATTTTGAGGGGCAGCCTGGTGTACTTTCTTTATTGTATTGCTGCTCTTGCCACAGGGCCCACACACCAATTAGAGTACAGCCTGCATTTGCTTGAAACACACTCCCAAATGCTGGGTCATATTCTTTGTGGAGAGCCATCCAGGTCTTGTCTGCCTTTGTAATCCCTTCAGTCGGATCAATTGAACCTTTGTTTCCAATATACCTTTTGCCAAATTACCCAAGCATCAAAGGTAGTGCTGGGAACACATGTGCATATGTTGCATGTGCTCGTCCCATCTATATAAAAGATTCAAAGAAAATAGCCAAAAGTAAAGTGTTGACAAATGTGCCTGTGAAATGCCATTTTTTTTTTATTGCTATAGAACAGTTATTGTTTCCGACGCCTTGTTGTGTGAGTGCACATTCCTTGGTGCTTGGATAATTTAACAAAAGGTCTATTGTAGCTGCTTTTTAATTATGACCTTTCATCAGAGAGTAAGGAGTTTCTTACTTGAACCAGCAGTGTGGTTGTCACTGTAGATTGAAGATTGTCGCATTCTCTGTTCACAACATTCAGCTAAACCACCCTCATTGCCCCACAGACCGACAAGAGTAAGTGGCAGCAGTAGAACGGAGTCGCAAGCTCCGCCAAGCTCCGTGAGAGAGGCACGGGAAGCCTCGGTTGCTTCGAGCAAACGCAGGCGATCTCTCACTCCTGAGCCCAGGAAAACGGCCCGAGAGAAGACACACCATGCTTCGGACACCAGCAGTAGGCACAGGCAAGTTGTTGGCATCTGGCCCCTTGCAATGACATTGAGGGGTTGGACTGTTTGCTTATGGTGATCACCCCTTTGATACGATTCACTCCTGTCTTGGAAAAAAAAACGCATTTAATATTTTGAAACAGCGTTAAACCCGGAGAGTGCACAAAGAAAGTAGCAGCTCCAGCTCAGTATTGGAGCAGCACCAGTCAGTGTTGCCTGCATTTGCTTGAAATGCCTTTTTGTAACCAGTGCCTCAAGGGTGCTGCAGAGGCTGACTGTGTTTTAGGGGTTGATGTGTTTTAGGGGTTGATTTCTATGAGCAAAACTGTCATGAACAAGCAGCATGCTAAAAACGTTGCACAGTAAAAAGAAAGAAAAAGACACTTAATGGGGTTTAATCTGGGTAGGTGCTGTGGCAGTTAAATACTATAGCCATTGAGCTGTGTAGCACAGCTACTCTGGAAGCATTGCACTTCTGGCAAAACATGGCGGCGAGAGCAGTGTGATGTCATACCATGTGGTGGTTTGTGCGGGACATTTTTTTATGGATAATGTCAATTTATATGTAGTATTACTTGATTATGTTTCTTAAGAGGTGATGAATTTCAGTCTGGATGTGACTGTAACTTGCATTGTGTAAAGTTTGGGTAGGAAACTATACATTGACTCATCCCTATGATCCTTGAAGATATGCTCATGGTTGTTACGATGACCCCCTTTAATTAAGCAGGGGGTGGTCCAGTTGCACCATTTGCGCCATTTTGATAAATTCCCGCTTGCGTGCAACTTGCTATGCCCAAAGGGAAAAATTGCGCCAAAATGCACCATCGCAAACAAATCTGCAAACAAATAGGTTTCTGGAAGAGTTTTCGTCGGGCAACTGTGGGAATCTAGTGGGGTTTGGCCATCCTAGTCCAATCCAGGTTTCCGGCTTTGCGGCATTGTTTCACAGATTTCGCACCAATTTCACCGACATTCCTAATGCAGCAAAGTTTCAACAGTTTTAGCTGTATTTCTAAGCGCACAACTGAAGGTTAGCAAGCACACATAATTTTTTTTTCTTTTTCTGCATGCTCATGCTTAGAAGAGTAACACTGTTTTATAAGAATGTGCTCGCACATGGTTCCCATTTCGTTGGCATGCTCGGTCGGGACTGCTTGGTTATGAATTGTTGCCTTTTTTCGCGTTAAATGATATGAATCCTTGATCATACTACTTGTTAAAATATCTTTACAATAGGAAAAACCAGAACCCAGAAGACTTTGTATTGGCGTAGTGCGCAAGCTACAGGGGGCGCTTCTTAGCTATCATCATCATTGTTTGTGAGGTGGTGGGTAGGACAGACCAGGACAGAGTGCGCAGGTCTTGATCCCTCGACTCGTCAGCTCACTTCATACGCTGCTTGGGTAACGCGCTGCAGAGCCTCTTTTACTCGTGTTTGTTTGGTGAAGTGATAATAGTAGAACATTTTACCAAAGCTTGAAACTGGCACGCGTAGTCATGGTAACAAACACTTTTGGTAATGAGGTGTCGAAGCGCTTGGACAGTGGTGTGCTATTCTCTACCCCAGTGCAAAAGGCTGGATGATGGAAATAGAATATTGTAAAACCCTTTATTTTCGCGACCCCGATTTTTCACGAATCTGTCACAGAGGGCATACCAATCGCGGCCACTAAATTTCTAGACGCCTTCATTGAAACTCTTAAGTTTAGAAATTTTCGTGTGCCCTTAAATTTCGCAATTTTTTTCAATTTGCAAAATTTAAAGGCTCGCAAACATTAAGGGTTTTACAGAATCCAGTGCTTTACCGCACTACAACATATACCACGGTGAATAGGGTGTATTTTTTTATTATGATTCGGAGAAAATATAATCGAGAAAGGAATGACTCATCAAATTGAAAATAGAAAAGCAAAATTCGAGAACCTCTCGCCTGTGTAGTAAACACTTCAGTAAAAGTGGCTTCATATATCCTCTTGGTTTTTTATGTGATTTGTTAGTTCTGGTCTCTTGTTAGCTTCAAGTTGATTCCTGTTTTTTGTAAGCAAGTAAACAAAGATTTCCTCAAAATAACTGGCAGTAAGAATCGGTGGCTGGCTTCGAGAGTCGTTTCAACTAAATCCCTGCTTCTTCACCCGGTCGACGTGAAACATGCGAGGTCCCCTTGCGATCGCGGTCTTAAGTCTAGTAAGTCTGGGACACTTCAGCATCCCCAAGAATAAGGTATACACTTGCTATAAATTACTTCCGTTTGTATGTTTAATTTTGGCAGGCCCAAATGCACATAATGCATGATGCACTTCTCAGCAAGCGATTTTAAATTCGTAAACAATTCTTAGTAAAAATTAGATGGATCAAATTTAGCAATCGCCTTAATTTGCCGGGCCATGTCCGACAATATAAGAATTTATGAAAATTTCTCCCTTTCTTTCAAGTAAAAGTTGCGATGTGACAAACCTTTTTGCCACGTATTCGATGTGGGAGGAGCTAAGCGCCAGTTGCTGACAAGCATTTGCTCAACCGTCGAGTTTTACTTAGATTGAAGTGTCGGTATCGGCAAGCTCAATGTAGCTAAGACAACTGTGTGACGCTTTGCGACGCAATGCAACTGTGCATGCACAGCTAAGAAGACAGCACATCATTTACTCTGATGAATGCAAAACTTTTTTCTACAGCAGCTTTTACAGGTCTGCAAAAACAAAAATCGGAGAGGCTGTGAATAGCATTGATGCATGCCATGCAAGCTGTAATGTGAAGTTCCAGGCTTTTTTTTTTTTTAATATTTTAAAGTTTCTTAATACAAAAAGCAATTTCGAGACACTGTTATTCATTAGAAAGATCACTCACAAAAACATCATACATGTTTCTTTAGGGGGGGGACAGCACCTTAAAATTACAATTTTTGAGATAAAAACAAATTTTCTATTTTTGTGTGTTGTGGTTCCACAACTAGTAGTGTATGCTCCTGCAAATTTTTATTGCAATATCTGAAGTATTTACGGAGAAATAAAACATTTTCAGTCAGTCAACGAAGCAAAATCGCGTGTTTTTGAAATGTGAAACTTCTGTTTCCTATTTTCAAACTGCTGTAGCTTTGCACCGGTATGCACTAAAATGATGATCATACTCTCGTTGGAAAGAGCATTTCTTCACAGTTTCAGTACATTAAAGGAGCTGTGCAACAATTTCAGGGCTTTGCTTAAATAATTGTGGAAGTTGATGCCTGACACTTCTGCAGTGAACTACAGAAAACAGATTTTGCCTGGATACCCTAGTTTTTACTTAAAAAAATGAAAAAGATCCAGGTTTTTGCCGCCTCTCAACTCGTGCATCGTCTTCCGGGTCACGTGCACAGTGACGTCACTAGAGTAGGCGCGGAGTTCCGGAAAAGTTCTCTCTTTAGAGCCATCAGCGAGCAGCGAGAACTCATCCGCTGCCGACCGCGTGACCACCCGTCCTTGCCAGTGTGGCGCTGTCCCCCTCCCCCTCCGGCTTCTGGCGGCTGTTCGCGGTTTTGTGGACCTAGGATAGATGGCGCCACTAAAACTCCGTATAATAAAAGTTTTGTCGATGATACCAGGGTGTTGACGCATTTATATATATGTTGGAACGACAAGATTTGTAAAAAGAGTTACCTTTTATCGAGCAGGTATTCGCACAACTTGCTATCTTTCTTACAACGACCCAAGTGACGTCACGCCGCTTGTTTCTCATGGCCGCCGCTCGTGGCTGCAGGTCGGGAAATATTCCAAGTTTTGCCTCGCTATTACGCGGCGGAATCGCAACATTGCGATGAAAAGAGGTGTGTTTTCTGCCATTTGTGACACAGTGAACAATATCAAAAGCAGAAAATGCCAATTCCTTCAACGTTAAAATCGTTGCACAGCTCCTTTAAATATCTTTGCTCGAGAGTAAACTCTACACCATAGAAGTCCAGCTTTGACGTAGAAGAGGCTATGCATATGGCCAAGAATCAAAAAGCCCACCCTGTTTGAGCACAAAACTGACTAAACCAGCATTCATTTATAGAACGTCATGCGGGTTTGTCTGCTTTGCATTTCTATGATGCTTGCCCCACCCATACTTGCTGATGTTGGTTCATGTATTGCAAGCATACCCAATTCCTCACTCATTTCACAATCAATGTCCAGATGCCGACAACAAAATGACACTCAAAGAAAGCGTTCTAAGCTCGAACTCGCTCAGCAAAGCCATGCTGGAGATCGTCGGTGTAAGCAGAAGGCACCATCTATGCTCTTGGTGCCTTTTAGTTTTCACCACCACCAGTAAAAGCAAATGTAGTGGTGTGGAAAAGTTTAAACAGGTTTTTCTCAGTTTCACTTTTTTGCAGCAACTTTCGTTTTAGGAAATCTATCATTTCAATGAATCGCTGAACGTATTCTTTGCTGTGGATGTTTCTGAACGGAAATTTAATGAGGAAGGGGGCTAGATATTTATTTTTATTTTTAAATAAAGTTCTTAGTGCCAAAAAGTAGTTTTGATGAGAAGAAAATGCTCCATTATGTGGAATGCTTTTCAAATTGACATTTTACATAGAAAAAGTATGGATTTTAACGTAAAAAATAGATAGCCCTTCCATCATATGTTCTAGTTGAGGCTGAAGCTTAGAAATGTTCAATATTCTCCAGCAATTTTATACGATAAATTTCCTTGCCAAGTGAGGCGACTTGCATCAATAGCTGTATACCTACCCCCGCACCTATTAGAAAATAGTCCTACAGGGATGAAATTTCATAGAGTGCATTTAGGCAAGGAGATGAATAGACCCTCCAGATTTCTACAATATTGAGCGACTGGTTTAAAAGTCGACACTTGAAGATGGTGTCACCCCTTAATAAATAAACCGTTTCTAATGGCATGGATGCAAACTAACATAGCCACTTCGTGCTGTTACATAGCGCATCGTCTGCTCGCATCCTACGAGCTCCGTCACAGGAGGGCGCCCACGAGGTAGCGCCATCAATACATTTCGTCGCCAATAGTGCCAATTTACC